AATCTTACCCAAAATCAATCATTTTACCATGAAAAATTTAGAACGTGCAAAAAACTGGGGAAAATACAGATTTCTAAAGGAAACGATCATGAGGACAGATTTCTACACAAACACACACACCACGCGGCTTCTACCCCCAAAGCCTTATCAAGACTCAGCTACTATTTAATGGGATAGGATAATTAATGCACTCATTGAAGAATACCAAATCACTAGACGCAATTCTAAAATTGCCATCTCATCCCATCGAAGCACTGGACAGCAACATCTAAAATAGGTACTTATCACCGAGTCAATCTATATATATATAGATTGACTATATATATAGTCTATATATATAGATATATATAGATAATATATAGATAATATATGTATCTATATATATAGATATATATCCCGCTCGAGCAAATCAATGAACAACGGGAGGACAGTGGATCTAAAACTTGTTTATCTTTCAAAATCCCCAAGAAATTTTTTTTTAATAATTGCTGTCATCTACATAGATAATTCTATTTCTTTGTATATGACTAAAATATTTTCCTACAACTTATTAACAGTTGCTGTTTTACTTTTTTTTTTTTGCTTTTTGGGTCACACCCGGCGATGCACAGGGGTTCCTCCTGGCTCTGCGCTCAGGAATTACCCCTGGCGGTGCTCGGGGGACCCTATGGGATGCCGGGGATCGAACCCGGGTTGGCCACGTGCCAGGCAAACGCCCTCCCCGCTGTGCTCGTGCTCCAGCCCCAACAGTTGGTGTTTTAAATAGTTCCCAACAGCCAGAAAAGTGGGTATTATACCTTTAAAGAAATTGACATTAATGATAACCCTCAGAGATATTATGGGGTAAACACTCAAGTATAGAGTGAGACAGATAGGTTTGATCCCTGGGTACTGTTAGGGTGTGGCCCAACACTGCTTCAAAACAACAAGCAAACTGCAGTACATAGTTGGGAAATTTATGCTTATTTGGTCTCCTTCCCTTTGCTAATCTGTTTTGTTTGTTTGGGGCCAACTGGCACTGATCAGATGTGTTCTCCTCTGCACTGGGGTATTATCCCTGGTGGTGCTGGGAGACCCTATTAGATGCCTTGTGCAAGGCAAATTCTCTTCCATGTCTACTATTTCTCTGGCCCCTATCAATTTTTTTTTTCTTTTTGGGTCACACCTGGCAATGTACAAGGATTACTCCTGGCTCTGCACTCAGGAATCACTCCTGGCGGTGCTCAGGGGACCATATGGGATGCTGGGAATTGAACCCAGGTCGGCCGTGTGTAAGGCGAACGCCCTACCCACTTGTGCTATCTCTCCAGCCCCTGGCCCCTATCATTTTTAATCAGTAGTAAGAGGTTAATTAGATAATCTTCAAATTGATAATAGCTATATAAAATATATAATAATATATAAAATAAAAGTTTCCTGCCCCCGCGCCTGGCTGTCCTCACCAGGGCCCCTTGGAGGGGGCGGGTTGAGTTTCCCTCCCCACCCCGAGCAGAGCTCCGGCAGCTGAAGACCTCCAGAACCAGTCACAACCATGCTGAGACCACTCTCCACACGCAAGAAGGTACCGGCAGAGGAACAAAGGCATGCGGGTCCCGGGGCTGAGACCTCCAAGCCTGCTCGGATCGGGGCTGAGCATCCTCCACCCAGATCCTCCTAATTCCAGTAGGTGGGGGTCACCTTATTATCTCATTCTTGCTTTGGACAACCCGGCAGGCTACCGAATGTCACCTGCCCACACGGCAGAGTCTGGCAAACTCCCCGTGGCGTCCCCAATATGCTAAATACCAGTGACAAGGATGGGACTCATTCTCCTAACCCTGAAAGAGCCTTGAATGTGGCACTTTTTTTAAAATCTCAGGGCTAGGACGAAGGAGACGTTACTGGTGCCTGCTTGAGGCAATCGACGAACAACAGGATGATCATGATATATATATATATATATATATATATATGCAGCATATATATATATGCTGCATATATATATATATATATATATATATATGCTGCATCAGAAGAGGACATTTTTGATTGATCATGTCTCAAACGCATTCCGCTTACAGAGCCCAATTCTCAGCAGTCAAAGCAACTATACTCTTGGGGTAACTACGTTTCTCCCTTTCAGTTCCCTTAAGCTGATTTTTTTTTTTTACCCTCGGGTTCCTTCCCAGTTGCAAAATAAGGAAATAAAGATCCCAAGTAAGATCTAAAACAAAAGAAATGGGGAGGGTGGAGGTGGGGGTTAGGCACGGTGCAGGCAGAGGGATGGCTCAGCTCTGAAATCCTTATTTCCAATCGCTCTCGCCAAGGCGCCTCGTGTTCAAGTTTCTCTCTGAATCTGGGTCTCCGGGGACACCGAGTCCCATCACCTTCCACATGCTCTCTGCGTCACAGCTCCAGTTAAACATAAAAGTTAAACACGCAAGTGAGCAGAAGATTAAAATGGATTTGGGGGGGGGGCATGAGAACCAATCTGAATTCTGCATTATATAATGCCATTCATCAAGGTGAGAAGACCAAAGACTTTGCGCTCTGATTTTAAAAAATAATAATAATAATAAAGGGGCTGGAGCAATTGCACAGTGGGGAGGGCGTTGGCCTGGCACGTGGACAACCCGGGTTCAATTCCCAGCATCCCATAGGGTCCCTTGAGCACCGCCAGGAGTGATTCCTGAGTGCAGAGCCAGGAGTCAGCCCTGAGCATCACCTGGTGGGACCCAAGGAGCAAAATAATAATAATAATAATAAAATAATAACAATATCTGGTCCATCACCCAGTTCAGCACCTTGATCAATATCTTGTCCATCATCTCAGTTCAGCACCTTGATCAATATCTGATCCATCCATAGGGGCTGGAGAGATAGCACAGCAGGGAGGGCGTTTGCTTTGCACGCGGCTGACCAGGGTTCGAGTCCCAGCATCCCATAAGGTCCCCCGAGCACTGCCAGGAGTAATTCCTGAGTGCATGAGCCAGGAGTAAGCCCTGTGCAATGTTGGGTGTGACCCAAAAAGCCAAAAAAAATAATAAAATAAAAATAAAATTTAAAAAATTTTAAAAATCAAATAAAAATCAAATCAAATAAAAAGAACTTACCAACAGGTAGAAAAAAAATGCCGTTGGCCATTTTAAGAAGGGCCCTGGGGAGGTTTTCCAATGGCATCTGCTCAGAACCTGAAGGTTAATTGTAAGAAATGCCCCCTTGGATCTGATCTTTGGGGGAGTTCCCAGCAGAGCACTGCACCCTCCCGCAGAGGAAGGAGAATTCCTCCCGGCCTCCTGGGAGTCTCGGCCTGGCCCTGCCTGGCTGTGTCCATCTCTGCCTCTTCTTCCCCATTCCGCCCCCCCCCCCCACCGGAACCCACCCACCCACCAAAAGCAATAATCGATCACCTCCGGGCCTCTCATTCATTGACTGCTCCCAGCGGGACTGGCTAAGGCCTTTTCCGCATTTTATTCACTCAGGGGCGAATAACAGCCCTGGCAGGAACACTGCCTGCTGAGTTAACTGCATCTCCCACAGAATCGGCCTGCTAGTTACCCAGAACCTCTAAGCCCAGCTGGGGCCCTGCAGCACCCCGGGGTCCCACTGCAGGGGGCAAACCCCAGCCCAGTGCAGTGCATGCCCAATTCAATCAGCTTATTAAATAGCAGTACTCCTACATTAATAATAATAATAACAATAATAATAATAAAAGCCAAGTCCACTCCACCTCCAAGCCCTGGGGAGACCTAGTCCCTCCGCGGAGGGGCTCTGTGTCCCCATCACAGTCTCCTGGACCGACCCCAGCCCCTCACCCTCCCACCCAGACTCAGAATGCGGGACAATCAGATAGGAAGGGGCTGAGATCTAGCCTCAAATCGGGCTTTTATTTTAATTTTTTTTTGGGGGGGTTGTCTCAGCAAGATGCTGATGCTGATGACGCAGAGATGCAAGGTTGGGGTGGCCACCAGCCTCCCGGGGGTGCAGGGATGGAGGTAGGGTGGGGGGGAACGAGCCTGGGTGCAACCGATGAGGAATGCAGTGATGCAGCCGGGCCTCAGGCCCGGATCGATCCTGCACACCCCGGGGTGGGGGGCTGGGGGGGGTCCCGAGCATCCCGGGGTGCAGGGGATGGAGGTGCGAAGGGAGGGAGCCTGGATGCAACCGATGAGGGATGCAGTGAGTGATGCACCCGGACCCCGTGTCCAGATCGATCCTGCACACCCCGAGGTGGGGGTCTGGGGGGCGTCGGGGTCCCGAGCAGTCCGGGCGGCAGGACCGGCGCTGTCCAGCGGCCCGCGTTGCCCACCCACCCCCGCCCGGGCCCCCCCTACCTGGGGCGGGCGCTGCAGGTGCCCGGTGACCTCTCGGCCGTCCTTGGGCGGCGCCTGCTCGAGGGGTCCTAGGCGGCGCGGGGGCGTCCGGGCGCGCGGCTGGCCGGCCCGGTCCTCCCCGGCCGGGCGCTGGGCACGTGGCCGGCCGGACCGTCCATCCCGCCGGACTCCGCGGGCGCCGGCGCACGCCCGGGGCGCCCACGGCCCATCGCCACCGCCGACCGGGGCCCGCGCACCTCCGCTGGGGACCGCAGAGAAGCGTTTCTATGGAAACGCGCCCGGGCCCACGTGACGCACCGCGGCGGCCAATCGCCTGCCGGCCCCGCCCCTCAGGCCCCGCCCCTCGAAGCCTTCGCCACGCCCCTCCCGCGAGGCTGCGCCTGCGCACGGCGCCCCGGAAGCGAGCGGGGGCGGGGGGCGGCGGGGCCGGGGGCGGGGCCTGGACTAGCGGGCGAGGCTGGGGGCGGGGCCTGTGGGGAGGCGGGGCCAGGGCCTGGTCGGGGGCGGGGCCTGGTTTCGGGGCGGGGCCTGTCTGGGCGTGGTCTGGTTGCGGGCGGGGCCTGTCTGGGGGCGTGTTCGGGGCGGGGCCTGGTCCGGGAGGGACTAGGATCGAAGCCTACTTGGGGGCGGGGCCTGTGTCGGGAGGCGTGTCCGGGGCGGGGCCCGCGCTCCGCCCCGCGCAGGCGCAGTGTCCGGGCTCCGCGGCGGCCCGGGCGACGCCCCAGAGCGGAAGCGGGAAGTAGCGGCGCGGGGCTGCGGGGGTCGCGGGCAGCGCGCGGGCGTCCGCGATGGCCAAGAACACGGTGTCGTCGGCGCGCTTCCGCAAGGTGGACGTGGATGAGTACGACGAGAACAAGTTCGTGGACGAGGAGGAGGGCGGCGACGGGCAGGCGGGACCCGACGAGGGCGAGGTGGACTCGTGCCTGCGGCAATATCCTTGATCGCGGACCCCCGGGCCGGACCGGGACCCCGGGCCCAGCCGGGACCGCGGCCCGAGCCCGGCAGCCCTTCCCCCGGGGTGGGCAGGGCTCAAGCAGGGGGCGCTTTCGTGCGCTCCTTCCCCATCCCCAGCCTGGCCCGCTGCCCCCGAGGCCGCTTTGTCCACCCCTGGGTGGGCCTGGGTCGGGGGGTCGCGCCCAGGCTGGCCAGCTGGGGTCAGTGGGTCCTGCATGGGGAGCTCTGTTCTTTTTTTTTTGCATCTGGGAAGGAAAAGAATTAGACAGGGGCGGGGAAGGGGTGCAGGAGGGCCCCCCCCCGGACCGCCCCTCGCCCCCCACCCCTAGGCTGAGACCAGGCTGGACCCTGCCTGGAGCCCCCCAGCTGGTTCCTTGTGCGCTGACACGCAGCTGTCAGTTCCTGGTTCCTGGGGTTTTGCATATTTGAATATTCATCACCGGGATCCTTTTTTTTTGCATGGGACCCTATTTTTTCTTTTTTTTTGTTTTTGTTTTTGTTTTTGCAATCTCCAGCGCTGCCTTCTTAATTCATTTATTTACTTATTTATTTTATTTTTTTATAACCCCTCAATTCTCCAGGATGGGATGAACTCTTAATGACTCTGGAGATAAGATGCTTCTTTTCATCCGCCTCCAATTAAATCATCCTAGGAGTGAGGGCAATTTGTAACCATTATGTCTGGGCTGCCTGGAAAAATGCACCTTTCGGAGTGCTCACCTTAGGGTGTTCCTTGGAGTTCTTCCTCCCCACCCCCCACCCCCCCCAACCTTCACCATCAGCTGCTTTTGCATAATTGAAATAATTTCCTCAGTGCCGGGGCCATCTGGTCTGCTAAAGGCAGCCTGGCCTTGGCAGGCCTTTTGCTAGCTAGGCACTTCTGGGTGGGTGACTGATGCTGTGTGTGTCCCTACGGGGCCCTGGGGACATGGTGCCTGGACTTCAGGGGGACCGGCTGGGTCGGTTTCTCTCATCGGTGCATCTTCTGAGATGAGAGATAAAGGCATTCTTGGCTCACGCCAGTCACCCGCCCGGAAGCCACCAGCGGGGGGTCAGCGCAGAGATGCAGGAACAAAGTGTGGTTTTCCTTTTAGGGGAAATTCTGAGCCTGCTGACGATCTGATTGGCCTGCCGTGGGGCTCTCAGCGGAGAGACTCGGTGTCATACGCACCCGGCGGTGACAGCTGGAGTCATCTCTGGGAGAGAACCGAGCCCCTGGGAGCATGTGGTGCTGTCTCGGGGCTCAGTGTTGAGCACCCCAGCCAGGGCTTGGTCTTTGGGGCTGGGAGGGAGGAACAGGTGACCCAGCCCTCACCCCCGCCCCAACCCCAGGAGTCCCTGGGCTCAGCCCCCAGCACCCCCAAAGTGAAAACGCCCCGTCTTTAAATCACATAAGAAAGACCAAATTGGTAGGGTAGCACAGTAGCACTGTCCTCCCGTTGTTCATCGAATCGCTAGCCAGGTTAATTTTCACCCTACTAAATTCTGACACATTGGGTTGTTGGGGTTCTTTATTTGGGGAAGGGGGCACACCCGGTGATACTCAGGGCTGACTCCTGGCTCTGCACTCAGGGATCACTCCTGGCAGTGCTCGGGGGACCCTATGGGATGCCGGGGATCGGACCCAGGTTGACCACATGCAAGGCAAGCACCCTCCCTGTGGTATTATTGCTTTGGGCCCTTCCTGGTTGGGGTTTTTTTTTCCCCTTTTTGGGTCACACCCAGTGAGGCACAGTGATTCCTTCTGGCTCTGCACTCAGGAATTACTCCTGGCGGTGCTCGGGGGACCCTGTGGGATGCTGGGAATCGAACCCGGGTGGGCCACGTGCAAGGCAAACACCTTCCCCGCTGTGCTGTCACTCCAGCCCCTCATACTATTCTTTTAAAAAATTAATATTTGGGGGATCCCACCCGGCGATGCTCAGGGCTGACTCCTGGCTCTGCACTCAGGAATTACTCCTGGTGGTGCTCGGGGGACTCTATGCGATGCTGGGAATCGAACCCGGGTCGGCCGCGTGCCAGGCCAACGCCCTCCCTGCTGTGCTATATCTCTCCAGCCCCTCTGTTGTTGTTTGTTTATTTATTTATTTATTTTATGTGTAATATTACACCGGTGGTAATGTTTGGCACACACGCCCGACTAGACCGGGGAAGGTTCTCGAAGCGTTTGGGAATCAGAGCCAAGGGTTAATGGTTCTTGTTTTTGTAAAACTTGATTCTGTTTTCCTTGTATTGATCTTTTGGAAGCTACTGGACTGAGTGTTTTACTAATAAGCATGGCAACAGGTGTGGTTGTTAGCTTGGGGTTTCTTTGAGGTTTTATTTTTTTGAGGAGGGGGTGATTGTTGGGGGCTTTTTTGTCTTTTTTTTTTTTCATGCATAAAATCGGGTCTCGGTGCCCCTTTGCCTCGGTTCCCTTAACGGTCACTCACAGGAAACATGACCGCAGCCTTGCAGGCGGCTCTGAAGAACCCGCCCATCAACGCCAAAAGCCAGGCAGCTAAGGTGAGTCAGCCCCGTGCCCAGCCCGCGGGCAGCCCCAAGGACACGGGACAGAGAGAGCACAGAGGTCACCTGAGCAGGGGACCTCAGGGTCCAGCCCCAGTGGGTGTGACATGACCACCCTCCCCCCCAATCCAGGACCCCCAGACAGGCTTCGTGCAGAGGACAGGGGCCAGGTGGAATTTGGAGCCCTAAAATACGCACCATCAGGGCTGGACCGATAGCACAGCAGGGAGGGCGTTGGCCTGGCACGCAGCTGACCCGGGTTCGATCCCGGGCATCCCCTAGGGTCCCCCGAGCACCGCCAGGAGTGATTCCTGAGTGCAAAGCCAGGAGGAACCCCTGAGCATCCCTGGATGTGACCCAAAAAGCAAAATAATAATAATAAAATAATAGTATCTGGTCTATCACCCAGTTCAGCACCTTGATCAATATCTGATCCATCCATAGGGGCTGGAGCGATAGCCCAGTTGGGAGTGCATTTGCCTTGCACACAGCCAACCCGGGTTTGATCCCCGGCATCCCCTAGGGTCCCCCGAGCACCGCCAGGAGTGATTCCTGAGTGCAGAGCCAGGAGTCAGCCCTGAGCATTGCTGAATGGGACCCAAAAAAGCAAAAAAAGAAAAAAAATTGTAGAACCTCTCAACTGTATTGCAACATACATGAACGTATTTCCCAGGCAGATCTGTTGATTTCTGTCAGGTCTGGAAAGGACAGTACTTACGTGATGCCACAGCGGTCACCCCGGGCCCCGCCAGAAAGTGAGCCCCGAGCACCGCCCCCCCCCGGGTGTGGCCCCAACCCCTGACTAAAGAATGAAATACCTTCCCGTTTAATTTATTGAGCATAATTTCCTGTTGCGTACACTATGGAAGTGAACAGGATTGGCCAATGTTTTTCTGTACGAGGCCGTTGGTTTCACAGCAATGAGAACCCATTGACTTTGTGTTTTTTTTTTTTTGTTACTGGGTTTTCTTTGGGGTTTTGGGTTTTGTTCTTTCGTGGTTTTTTTTTTTTGGGTGGGTCCCATCCGGCGATGCGCAGGGCTGACTCCCTACCCTGCACTCGGGAATCACTCCTGGCGGTGCTCGCAGGACTCTATGGGATGCCTGGGTTCGAACTCGGGTCGGCCACGTGCAAGGCAAATGCCCTCCCCACTGTGCTGTTGCTCCGGCCTCTAGTTTTGATTGTTTAAAATGAAGCTTGGAGGAGCTGGTGTGATAGCACAGCGGGGAGGGCGTTGGCATTGCACGCAGCCGGCCCGGGTTCGATCCCCGGCATCCCATATGGTCCACCAAGCACGGCCAGGAGTGATTCCTGAGTGCAGAGCCAGGAGTCAGCTCTGAGCACCACTGAATATGGCCACCAAACACATAATGATAATAATAATAATTTCTGTCACTGTCACTGTCCTCCCATTGTTCATCGATTTGCTCGAGCTGGCCCAATAACACTGTGAGACTTGTTACTGTGTTTGGCATCTCGAATACGTCACGGGTAGCTTGCCAGGCTTTGCCGGGTGATAGCTTGCTGGGCCAGTTCAGCTGTCTGGGAGGGGTGGGGCGGTGTGGGAGGCAGGCCCCACACCAGAACAAACAAGGTCAGATTATTCACTTGTTAATGCCCTTTGACCGCTCTTCCCAAGGCCGCACAGTTCCTGCTCCCTCACTCCCTCTCTCCCTCTCTCTCCATTTCTCTCTCTCTCTCTCTCTCTCTTTCTCTCTCTCTCTCTCTCTCTCTCTCTCCCTGAAAGCGTTTCCTCAGGCATCCCTCCGTTGCATTCCAGCATCCTTCCTGTCCTAACTTCGGTTTGACATCTCAGTAACCCTGGGAAACTGAGCTCACACACAAACACACAACTACAGGGTCTATCACACACAGGCACACACACAACTATAGAGGTTGTATTTGTGGACACACAGGCATGCACACAAACACATCTATAGGGACTACTTGTGTACGCACACACACAAACACATACACAGTATTCGTACACCCACACAAACACAAACATCATATCTATGGGGACTGTATTTGTACACAGGCACACAGCCCCAGCCTGTGGTCTTCTGTGTTCACCAGCCTGTTGGCCTGTTCATTGTGGCCCCGCGGGCCCCCTGACCCGCCCCTCTCGTCCCCAGGACCGGGCGGGCAGCATCGTCCTGAAGGTGCTGGTGTCCTTCAAAGCCACCGACATCGAGAAGGCGGTGCAGTCGCTGGACAAGAGCGGCGTGGACCTGCTGATGAAGTACATCTACAAGGGCTTCGAGAGCCCGTCCGACAACAGCAGCGCCGTCCTGCTGCAGTGGCACGAGAAGGTGGGTGCCCGCCGCCCCTCACGTCCCCGGGCCTGCCCGCCCGGCCTCAGCTCCTGTCCCGTGGCACTGTGACGGACGGGGATGCCATGGAGCTTTGGGTTCCGCAAGCAGAATTTCCAGCTATGTCAAACCTCGGGAGAGAGGGGCTGGAGCGATAGCACAGTGGGGAGGGCGTTGACCTGGCACGCGGCCGACCCGGGTTCAAATCCCAGCATCCCATAGGGTCCCCCAAGCATCAAGTGGGGGCTGGAGCAATAGCACAGCAGGGAGGGCATTTGCCTGGAACACAGCCGACCCGGGTTCGATCCCCGGCATCCCACAGGGTCCCCCGAGCACCGCCAGGAGTGATTCCTGAGTGCAGAGCCGGGAGTCAGCCCTGAGCATCGCCGGGTGGGACCCCCAAAAAAGCAAAACTAAAAAAAAACTAAACAAAAACTACTCTGGCCCAGAGGAATAGGGAGCTCAGTGCAGGGGGGAGGGCATTTGCCTGACATGCCACCGACCCAGGTTCGATCCCCAGCATCCCCTAGGGTCCCCTGAGCACCGCCAGGAGTGATTCCTGAGTGCAGAGCCAAGAGGAACCCCTGAGCACTGCCGGGTGGGACCCCAAAGGCCAAAATAATAATAATAATAATAATAATATGATGGGACTGGACAGATAGTCCAGCAGGGAGGGCGTTGGCCTGGCACGCGGCCGACCCGCGTTCAAATCCTGGCATCCCCTAGGGTCCCCCGCGCACCGCCAGGAATGATCCCTGAGCACAGAGCCGGGAGTCAGCCCTGAGCATCGCCAGGTGGGACCCAAAAACCAAAAGATGATTTAAAAAAAAAAAAATTGTCTCATGAGAAGTTGGTGAGGTCGATGCAGTTAGATTTTCCTGCCAGCACCCCCGAGGAGGAGCTAGGAAGAAGGAGTCGCCCAGCTCCCGGCCTGGGCGTCTGGGGAGGTGAGAAGGTCCCCCATCTCCATCTGTCAGAGCTCGCTGTTGCCCAGAAACCCCGGGCGGGGGTGGGCACCAGGCCTGGCTCATCTCCATCACCCAGAAAGTCCCACAAGCCAGCGCCAGCCCCGGGCAACGCTGTTTGGATGGGGTGTCCAGGGCCCGGGGCTGACCTTCTCCTCTGTCCACAGGCGCTGGCCGCAGGGGGCGTGGGCTCCATCGTGCGGGTCCTCACCGCCAGGAAAACGGTGTGATCGCGCGCGCACCCCCACCCCCATGCCACGCGGGCCCCGGATGGCCGCGGGGGTCGGAGCCGCCGCTCCAGAAACCAGGACCACCGAACGCCACCGCCGCCCTGGGGAGCCGCTCTGCTCAGCTTTGCAAACTTCTCGCTTCCCTTATCATGTCTGTAAAGAAAAAAAAAAGCACATAATAATCGATTTTCCTTTGATTGAAAAAAAAAATTTTATGGGGATTCCCCGTCCCGCCCTGGAAGGATACACCAGCAGGAAACGGGGGTCCCCACCTTCAGTGATGTATTCACTGCTCTTTTTAGGGTCACCACATCCCTCCACTTTTCACGGGGGGTGTTTAAAACCCCGACGGGCTGGTTCTTTGGGAGGGGTCTGGCCTCGCGGGGCTGCGGGGGACGAGGGATTTTGAACCGGGACCAAAGCGATCAGGATGCGAGGCCCGTTTGGGACCCCGTTTCTGGCCCAGAGATGCTCTTGGTCCTAAGGACACAGGCTGGAAAAGAACCGCGGCCGTGGACCTGTGTGCTGGGCTTTGGGGCACCCAAGTGGCCGTGGCTTCCACGGGGCTCCAGGCCTGACCCCATCCACACTGTCTATACGACACTTTTGCCCGCCTGTCTTAGAACCTTCTTTGGGAAATGGTTTCGAACCCAACTCACACTCGGGCCAGGCTCTCCAGGAAACGGTGTGAACGCCATGGACAGACGCCCGGTCCAGGCCCTCGGCGTTCTACAGGGTAAATTGTGATCCCAACATTTGGGTTCCGATCCAAACGGACACGCAGTATTTTTTTTTTATACCAAAACCTGAAATATTGCAAAAAATAATAATAATAATACTAAGTGTTTCTACTCTGTTGGACAAATCACATGGGTTCTTCAGAGAAAAAAAACAAAACGGTTGGTGCTTTTCCAAAATCCCTGGCAAGGCACCCAAGACATGCCAAGAAACGCACCAGGCCCCCCCCTCGGGGAACTCGTCCTGTGTTCAAACGCTACAGATTCCTCGTTCCCCGACGTCTGTGGCAAGGGCCCCAGGCAGTCCAGTTCTTCCCACCGGTTTTGATAATATAACGGCTTTTCTGTTTTGTACAAATGATGCAAAAATAAAACATCAGTGTTGAGTAGTTCTCTTTGTCGGGCTTTTTGCTTTGGGCTCGGGCCGGGACGGGGTCGGTATAATTCCGTACGTGTTTGCCTGACACACAGTCAACCCGGGTTCAGTCTTGGACACCGCGTAGGGTTTTGCCCGCCCCTGCCAGGAGTGAACCCAGAGCACGGGCCAGGGATGGTCCCAAAGGCAAAAAGCCAAGAATGTGGGAGCCAGGAAGAGGGATGTTTTCCTGGGTGTGGAGAGGGTTTAAATGCTATAGCGGGGGGCTGGAGAGATAGCACAACGGGGAGGGCGTTTGCCTTGCACGCGGCCGACCTGGGTTCGATTCCCAGCATCCCATATGATCCCCTGAGCACTGCCAGGAGTGATTCCTGAGTGCAGAGGCAGGAGGAACCCCTGTGCATCGCCAGGTGTGATCCAGAAAGCAAAAATAAAATAATTTAAAATGCTATAGCGGGTCCTTGGCCTGCTAATGCCTCAGGTTCAAGTACAAACACTACAAGGAGGTCCCCCAGGCACCCTCCTGGCCAGTACTTAGACGAAACCATCCCCCAAAAATGAAAAACTTAAAAAGGAGGGAAGGGGGCCAGAGCGATAGCACAGCAGTAGAGAGGGCGTATACCATGCACACAGCCGACCCGGGTTCGATCCTCGGCATCCCCCAGGGTCCCCGGAGCACTGCCAGGAGTGATCCCTGAGTGCAGAGTCGGGAGTCAGCCCTGAGCATTGCCAGGTGGGACCCAAAAACAGAAAAGGAAGGAAGGAGGGAAGGAAAGAAGGAAGGAAGGAAGGAAGGAAGGAAGGAAGGAAGGAAGGAAGGAAGGGGAAGGGAGGGAGGAAGGAAGGAAGGGAGGAAGGAAGGAAGGTTTTAGGTTGGAGAAATATCACACAAATTAAGATGTTTGGTTGGGCTGGAGCAATAGCACAGCGGGGAGGGCGTTTGCTTTGCACACAGCCGACCCGGTTGAAACCCCAGCATCCCCTAGGGTCCCCCGAGCACCGCCAGGAGGGATTCCTGAGTGCAGAGCCAGGAGGAAGCCTTGAGCATCGCCGGGTGGGACCCAGAAAGCCAAAAAGTAATAATACCAAATTAAAGATAAAGGTGGAAAAACGTTTCCATTTTCCTCAGCTCTTTGTACAGACCAGATCCAATCTCTCCCCAAAAGCTTGTCAACTGCTCAGATATTCAAGCTCGAGCCAGGGAAGAAGCGTTTGCCGAGGAGACCAGGAACGGGTCAGCTCGGTGCCCGCTGACCACTTGTTTATACCAAGACCTGGGCCGGATGTGCACACAAGGGCCACAAGTGGGGACAGTGGTGGCCGTGGCTGGCTGGGCCGGGAGGACCATTCGGTGTTGGGGATCGGCTGGAAATTGGGGCTCGAGCAATAACACAGCGGGGAGGGCGTTGTCCTGGCACGCGGCCGACCCAGGTTTGATCCCTGGCATCCCCTAGGATCCCCCGAGCAACCACCAGGAGTGATTCCTGAGTGCAGAGCCGGGAGTCAGCCCTGAGCATCGCCGGGTGGGACCCAAAAAGAAAAAAAAAAAACAGAAATATCCAACTGAGACCCAGGAACTCAGCAGACCTTTTCCCCAGCGCCCTTCTTGGCCATCACCTTGGTGACGCCGTGTGGGAGAACATTCTAGAACATTCTAGAACTCTCCATCCGACGGTGCCAAGAACCGTCAGATGGAGAACCAGGAACAGCCGACGGACAGTCAGAAGGAAAACCACACGTCCCACCTACTCATCTCGGGGTACCCACACGTGTCTGCCCCGTGACCCCCTGCCACCCACCCACCCTCTTCTACAAAAGTGGGGGCCGATGGTGAGGATTTGGTGGTGGGGAGACGGAAGAGAAATACACATGTGCCCCAGGGTGCTTCTGCAGCTCCTGCTTCTTTCTCTAAGCTGAAAGTCTTCCCTTCTTTATCTTCTGTGTGTGTGTGTGTGTGTGTGTGTGTGTGTGTGTGTGTGTGTGTGTGCTTTTTGCTGAGGTGTTGTTTTTTGTTTGGTTGATTTTGGGGGTCACACCCAAAATTGATGTCCAAGGGTTATTCCTGGCTCTGCACTCAGCAATCACTCCTGGCGGTGCTCAGGGGACCCTGTGGGATGCCGGGGATCGAACCCAGGTCGGCCGCGTGCCAGGCCAACGCCCTACCCACTGGGGTATCGCTCCAGCCCCAGATCAACGGGTTTCAGCTTCTCTTTTTGGGATACTTTGCAAGCAGGAGTGTCCCCATGCACTTGACCTTCAGCACTGGAGGCTGAGAAGACTCGGGTTCCTGCCAGCCCCGCTGCCCCCGGCCTGCCCGTGATCTCACCACACTTCTTTCTCAAATCTGGATTTCTGGGGACACATTTCCGGGGCAGATGAGGAAATCCCGGGCCTTGATATGTGGGGGGAAGTGTTGATTTTTTTTTTTACTATTTATTTTTGCTTTTTGGGTCCCACCCGGCGATGCTCAGGGCTGACTCCTGGCTCTGCACTCAGGGATCACCCCTGGCGGTGCTCGGGGGACCCTGGGGGATGGCAGGGATCGAACCGGGGTCAGCTGTGCTCAAGGTCAACGCCCTCCCCGCAGTGCAGTCGCTCTGACCTCAAGAGAGGAAGTGTTGAACGCCTGCATTCACCTAGAAAGCGCAGAGCACACCACACCCACGCCCCCCCCCCCCAAAAAACAGTTGCACACAGGAAAAGAGATATGTCTGAACTTCGAAAGACCTTTAGGGACTGGAGCAATAGCACAGCGGGGAGGGCACTGGCCTGGCACACAGCCGACCTGGGTTCGATCCCCGGCATCCCATAAGGTCCCCCGAGCACCGCCAGGAGTGATTCCTGAGTGCAGAGCCGGGAGTCAGCCCTGAGCATCACCAGGTGGGACCCAAAGAGCAAAAAAAACTTTAGGTGTCCCTGTGACTCGGTTCCCCTTGGTTTCCTGCCATTCACCAACGCCGCTGAATTCGTCTTAGCTGAATCCCGGTCTGGGCGGCCCCGACCGGCCTTCCTGTTTCAACATTACCGTGTTCCACGAATGATTTCGCCTCGCTGGGAAAGTGCTCCCTGCCCTGAATTCCCGGCAGTCCCCTCGGCCACCTTCCACGGGGGGGTTGGACACAGCGGAGGGTTGGGGGCTCCCTTTTGGAGGAACCCCCCTGGGAAGCTCCCTTTGTCGGGATTCCAGGGGGCCCGCATGTTCTGGTGTCAAAGGCAGGTGCCGAGTTGCGCGTTGGGCCTGAAATGATTCTGCGCTTGAGGACACTGAAATCCAAACCACGATGTGGGTGTATGAGGAACCGACTCAGCCTCTTCCATGCTGGGAAATCCCCGCTTCAGCCTCCTGACTCAGCTGGCCAGGGCCCCCGTGTCAGTCAGCCCCACCACTGAGTTTGTCTGTTTTTTTTTTTTTTGTATTACCTTTTTTCTTATTTATTTATTTTAAAAATTTTTTAATTTATCTATTTATTGAATCATTGTGGGAAAAGTTACAAAGCTTTCAAGTCTGGGTTTTAATTTGACCCACATCTGACAGTGCTCAGGGCTGACTCCTGGCTCTGTGCTCTGCACTCAGGAATCACTCCTGGCAGGGCTCAGGGGATCCTATGGGATGCCGGGGATTGAACCCAGATTGGCAAATACCCTCCCCGCTGTTCCATCACTCCGACCCCTGATTTTTTTTCCTGGGGGTCACACCCAGAGATGCTCAGAGGTTACTCCTGGAATTAGTAATTACTCAGAAATTACTCCTGGCAGTGTTCTGTGGACCCTATGGGATTCTAGGGAAGGAACCCAGATTGGCCAAGTGCCAGGAAACATCCTCCCTGCTGTACTATCGCTCCAGCCCCTGTCCTCAGATTTTTTTTTTTTTAAATAATATGTTCACAGGGTCGGAGCGATAGTACAGTGGGTAGAGCGTTTGCCTTGCAGGGCGTTGGCCTTGCACGCAGCCAACCCGGGTTCGATTCCCGGCATCCCATAGGGTATCCCGAGCACTGCCAGGAGGGATTCCTGAGTGCAGAGCCGGGAGTTAGCCCTGAGCATCACTGGGTGGGACCTAAAAAGCAAATTAATAATAATAATATGTTCTTGTTAAGTTTACAAATAATCAGTGGCTGGAGTGATAATACAATGGGTAAGGCACTCGCCTGACACGTGGCTGACACTGGTTCAATCCCAAGGTCCCCTGAGCACCGCCGGAATATAATTCCATTTTTTTGTGTGCTTTTTGGGCCACACCTGGTGATGCACAGGGGTTACTGCTGGCTCTGCAGGAATTACCCCTGGCAGTGCTCAGGGGACCTTATGGGATGCTGGGAATCGAACCCAGGTCGGCCACGTGCAAGGCAAACGCCCTACCCGCTGTACTATCACTCCAGTCCCCGGAATATAATTCCTAAGTACAAAGCCAGGAATAACCCCTGAGCACTGCTGGGTGTGGCATGCACACACACACACACACACACACACACACACACACACACACACATACACACATACAAACACAAAACTAAATTTACAAATAATCTCACCTTATAGACAAAATTCAAACTGACAGGGAACCTCTTGGGGCTGGACAGCGGGGAGGGCGTTGGCCTGGCACGCGGCCGACCCAGGTTCGATCCCCAGCATCCCATACGGTCCCCCGAGCACCGCAAGGAGTGAGTCCTGAGTGCAGAGCCAGGAGTCAGCCCTGAGCATCACCGGGTGGGACCCAAAAACAGCAACAACCAAAACCCAATAAAGGTAGATAAAGTCTCAGCAGACGACCTGGTGAGCATGTCGGAAGGGCGTGTCTACAAAAAGCTTCTCCCGTGTCCCCAGTCCGGCTAAGACTCTCCCCAGCAACCCTGTGCCCCTCAACACCCGCATCAGGACCAGACTTGGTGCCCACGCAGAGCCCCGACATCCCCACCTCTGCCTGCAGGGGGCGCTGTGCAGCCTTGGGCTCCATCCCTTGCTAAACCAGGTGGTGCCGGCCTTTGATATCCCTTGGCTGGTCAAGTGTGCAAATGACTCATCTGTGTTGACGCCCCTTTAATTCTCGTAAACAGCTCCCAAAGGGCCAGGTCGACCAGAACAAACGGATTCCAGGACTCGCCCATCTTTGAGCCATGCGCTGACCATGCATACCTTGGTCCCTGCACTTGATGACACATAGCTTTGGTTTTGTTTTATCTGGGGGCCCCGCCCGGCGATGCTCAGGGCTGACTCCTGGCTTTGCACTCAGGAATCACTCCTGGCGGTGCTCAGGGGACCCGATGGGATGCCGGGGATCGAACCCATGTCAGCCGCGTGCCAGGCAAACGCCCTCCCCACTGTGCTATTGCCCAGGTCCCTGGTTCATCACTCTTTATTGATCAATTGATTGATTGGTTGCTTTTTGGGTCCCACCCGGCGATGCTCAGGGCTGACTCCTGGCTCTGCACTCAGGGATCACTCCTGGCGGTGCTCAGGGGGACCCTATGGAATGCTGGGGATTGGACCCGGGTCAGCCAAGTGCAAATGCCCTACTGCTGGACTATCTCACCCGCCCCAAATTTGATGATTGATTTGTAAGATTTACTCTTAGAGATCTTTTTTTGGCTTATGGGTGGAAATTTTTCTCTACACTTGGAATGAACTTCCTGTTCCAAGCTAAGAAAATGCTGATTTGGGAACCAGGACAGTCCGGGTGGAGGGTGTTTGCCTTGCATGCGGCTGACCCGGGTTCGATCCCTGGCATCCCAGAGGGTCCCCCGAGCACTGCCAGGAGTGATTCCTGAATGCAGCAGAGTCGGGAGTCAGCCCTGAGCATCACTGGGTGTGGCAGTAAGAGAGACAGACAGACAGACATGGGCAGGAGTGATAGCACAGCGGGGAGGGCATTTGCCTTGCATGCGGCCAACCCGGGTTCAATCCCTGGCATCCCCTAGGGTCCCCCGAGCACCGCCAGGAGTGATTCCTGAGTGCAGAGCCTGGAGTTAAGCCCTGAGCCTATCTGGGTGTGTCCCCCCCCCAAAAAAAAACCAACAATAAACAACCAGGATCTTCCCTCTAAGGCATGGGGCAGAGGAGGAGGAAAGGGAGCACCCCACATGGGCACAAGGGGAGCAGAATATCAAAGACAGTCGGATATGGAAGAAATCTACCCAGTAAGGCTTCACCCTCCTGGGACGAGTCTAAGAAGCTGCTCAGGGTTGGGGAACGGGACCCCCGTCACCCACATTTTGCGGTGGAAAAAGCGAGGAAGGGCAAACTCTCCTCGACTCTGGCCAGCCAGGCAGAATCTAGTTGATTCCAGAAAGTTCCAGAACGTTCTCAGCAGGCACTTGATTGGGGGCTTGCTTTTAATATCGGATTCAGAGCTATCAAACAGGGCAGCCTGGGGCCGGAGCGATAGCACAGTGGGGAGGGCGCTGGCCTGGCACACGGCCGATCCGGGTTCGATCCCCGGCATCCCATAGGGTCCCCCGAGCACCGCCAGGAGTGATCCCTGAGTGCAGAGCCAGGAGTCAGCCCTGAGCCCTGAGCATCGCCAGGTGGGACTCAAACAGCAAAAAATAAATAAATAAAAGTTTTTAAAAAGAAAAAGCATCCTAGGGTCAGAGCCATAGCACAGCGGGGAGGACGCTGGCCTGGCACGCGGCCGACCCAAGTTTGATACCCGGCATCCCATAGGGTCCCCCGAGCACTGCCAGGAGTGACCCCAGGAGTAAGCCCTGAGCACTGCTGGGTGTGGCCCCAAGGTAAAACCAAACAAAAGTAAAAGGCACTTCTGAGGTTCCATGGGAGGGACATCAGCTTGGTGGAGGCACTGAGCAGCTCTGACCTGACCTGACCTGTGTGTGCGTGTGTGTGTGTGTGTGTGTGTGTATTTAAGGGCGGCACACCTGGCAGTGATCAGGGTCTACACCTGTCAGTGCTCATGAGTCACTCCTGAAAGTGCTCAAGGCCCGCACCTGGAGGTGCCCAGAGGACCACACGCATTGCAGGGATTTGAACCCTAGTCTCAGCCGCCTGCCCGGACCCTGATGGGCTTTTTCTCTTACGCTGATGGATCAAGAAGCAGGTTGAGACTCCGAGACAGATTAGGGCCCTTGTGGTACGCCCTGAGCGCCGTCACCAGCAACACGAAAATTGAAAATAACTTTCCTTTGCATTCCTCTTCCTAAGTGTGGAAGATCATTACGTTTTCCTTCATGTAGATAATATATATGGGTGCAGGGTCCGAGTGATAGCATAGCCGGGAGCGGGGAGGGCGTTGACCTGGCACAGAGCTGACCCGGGTTCGAGCCCCGGCATCCCATAGGGTCCCCCGAGCATGGCCAGGAGTGATCTCTGAGCACAAAGTCAGGAGTCAGCCCTGAGCATTGCCAGTGTGACTCAAAAGAAAAAAGAACAAAAACTGACCGTTTCTTTCTCCAGAAAGGAAGCGTTTGGTAACCAGCCCACATGCAGAAACCAACGCCGTTGGGTAAGAATTTCTCAAGCACGAGGAGCAATGAGGCAGGCCAGAGAGAGATAGCACAGCGGGGAGGGCGTTTGCCTGGCATGCAGCCGACCTGGGTTCGATTCCCAGCATCCCCTAGGGTCCCCGGGGCCTGCCAGGGGTAATCCCTGAGTACAGAACCAGGAGTCAGTCCTGAGCACTGCTGGGTGTGACCCAAAACAAGCGGTTGAAAGACATCCCCCAGCAAAGAAAAAGAAATCTCGCTCTTGGGGCCGGAGCGACAGCACAGCGGGGAGGGCATTTGCCTTGCACGCGGCCTACCTGGGTTCGATCCCCGGCAACCCCTAGGGTCCCCCAAGCACCGCCAGGAGTGATTCCTGAGTGCAGAGCCAGGAGAAACCCCTGAGCATCGCCGGGTGGCCCAAAAAGCAAAAGGAAGAAGAAGAAGAAGAAGAAGAAGAAGAAGAAGAAGAAGAAGAAGAAGAAGAAGAAGAAGAAGAAGAAGAAGAAGAAGAAGAAGAAGAAATCTCTCTCTAGCTCACCAAAGAGAGGGCACGTTGGTTCTTTTGCGGGGGGGGGCCCACATCCAGTGCGGTGCTGGGGCTCGAACCCAAGAAGGACCAGCCCTTAAGGCATGTCCCTGGCACCTTCTTATAAGGGCTTAAGAAACTCGGTGCTCCCTGTGAACTCACCCCTCCCTGTCTGTCTCTGTCTGTTTTCTCATCTGTTTTTTTTTTTTTTGGCGGGGGGAGATCCTACCTGGCGATGCTCAGGGCTGACTCCCGGCTCATGCACTCAGGAATCACTCCTGGCGGTGCTCGGGGGACCCTATGGGATGCCGGGGATCGAACCCGGGTAGGCCGTGTGCCAGACCAACACCCTACCTGCTGGACTATTGCTCCAGCCTTTTTTTCTTTCTTTCTTTCTTTCTTTCTTTCTTTCTTTCTTTCTTTCTTTCTTTCTTTCTTTCTTTCCTCTCTCTTTCCTTGCTTTCTTGCTTTCCCTTTCTCTCTTTTGCTTTCTCTCTCTCTCTCTCTCTCTCTCTCTCTCTCTCTCTCTCTCTCTCTCTCTTTCTCACCCGAGGGCTGACTCCCATCTCTGCACTCAAGGAATCACTCCTGGTGGTGCTCAGGGGACCCTAGGGGATGCCGGGGATCGAACCCGGGTCAGCCGCGTGCCAGGAAAACGCCCCTTCCCCACCATGCTGTGGCTCTGGGCCCAGTCATGTCCCTCAGGACGACATCTGAGCGGAGACTAAATGAGCTTCTGATCCAAGGGCGGGGAGAGTCAGGGGTCACTGGAGACGGGCGTGGGGTGACCCCCAGGGGCCCAACTTACAAGGGGGCGGAAACGGGAGAGTTCTGGGAGTCACCTTCCCACCAGGCATCCTCAGAGCCGGAACGGGGTCCCGGGGGCCCCAAGGCCAGTAAGGTTGGTGGGGGGGGAGGTTGCTGGGGAGAGAGAAGAAACGTTTTGGGGAACTGGTCCCCGCCCCCCCAGGCAAGGCACTTCCTCTCTCCTCCACCCACCCGTCTTCCCTCTTTCTCTTTCTCGAAGTTTCCCAGCTCCGGGGCACTGAGGCCCCCCTCGTCAGAGCCCCCCCCGCTGCCCTCCCTGGCCCCCCAGGGTCCAGCCGCGTCCCCAGCACCATGTCGCTGGCCGAGGCCATCGGCTTCTGGAACGAAGGGGTGCGAGCGGCCGACAGGAAGGACTGGACTGGGGCGCTGGACGCCTTCCTGGCCGTGCGTGACCCTCACGCCCGGCTCTGTTATAACATCGGTCGCGTCTACAGCATCCTGGGGGACTTCCCGGAGGCCGAGAAGGTGAGTAGGGCCCCCCTTCCCGCCCAGGGTCCCCGGCTCCAGCCCCTCCTCCGTCAGCCCTGTGGCTCTGAGCTAGGACCACCCGACACACACACACACACACACACACCCCTCCCAGGAACCCAGCACCACCCACTCCCATACTGAGTTCCCGGGCAGGCCCTGATCACGGCGGGGGGCTGAGTCCATTCTGGGGGTCCCCTCCCCGAAGCTCTGGCCAGCTGCACTCTGTAGGGTCCAACGTTGCTTTATGATCTGACCCCCGCCCCCACTGCAGGGCACTAGGGCTCACGGCTTAGCACCCCTGTGGGAAATGGCTCTCAGCGGCATCTCAGGACAGGGGGGCGCTTTTGTAGAAGGGAGTTGCGGGTCCGAGAGGTAGCACAGCAGGGAGGGGGCCCCTGCCTTGCGTGCAAATGAGTGGGTTTCAGTTTTGGCGCCACATACGGCCCCCTCAGCCCTGCTGGGTGGTTCCTGGGTTAGGAGTCTGGGTGAGAGGGAGAGACAGAGATGGGAAGGAAGGAAGGAAGGAAGGAAGGAAGGAAGGAAGGAAGGAAGGAAGGAAGGAAGGAAGGAAGGAAGGAAGGAAGGGAGGGAGGGAGGGAGGGAGGGAGGAAGAAAGAAAAAAGAAAGGAAAAAAGTAAGGAAGGAAAGAAAGGAAGGAAGGTAGAAAGAAAGAAAGAGAAAAAGAGAGAAAAGAGAGAAAGAAAGAAGAAAGGAAGGAAGTAAAGAAAGAAAGGAAAGAAGGAAGAAAGTAAAGATAGAGAGGAAGGGAGGAAAAGAGAAAGAAAGAAAGGGAGAAAGAGATATGTGAAGGAAGGAAGGGAAAGAGAAAGAGAAAAGGAAGGAGAGAGATAAAGAGAAAGAAAGAGAAAGAAGGAAGGAAGGAAGGAAGGAAGGAAAGGAAGGAAAGATAGAGAGGGAGGAAAAGAGAAAGGAAGGAGAAAGAAAAAAGAAGGAAAGAAAGAAAAGGAAGGAAAGGAAGAAAGAAAGAAAGAAAGAAAGAAAGAAAGAAAGAAAGAGATGGGAAGGAAGGGAGAAAGAGAGAGGAAGGAAGGAAGGAAGGAAGAAAGGAAGAGAGAAAGAAAGAAAGGAAGGAAAAGAGAGATGGAAGGAGGGAAGAAGGAGGGAGGGAGGGAGGGAGGGAGGAAGAGGCAGGTGCCTTCCGGATACCCCAAGACCCCCAAACATTGCCGGTGCAGCCCTGGGGGGCCCAAGACCCACCCCCTCGGGCTCTTGCTCCAATTAGCCAGGACTCCCCAACCCCCCACCCCCGCGTCCTGGTGCCCCTCCCCCTCCCCACCCACCCCTAGCTCACACCCCCCCCAGGCGTTCACGAAGAGCATCGCACTGGACAAGCACCTGGCGGTGGCCTACGTCCAGCGGGGGCTGCTGTACCACACGATGGGCAAGTAAGTGTCCGCGTGAGTGTCACAGACGCGGGGATGATGGCGGTGGGTGGATCGGGAGGACCCGGGACTCAGGGCCCTCCCCCCCCCCCCAAAGGGCCCTCCGTGCTCCCAGACTGCAGGGGGCGGGTGGCCACTAGCCCAGAGCTGCTGGGACACTGTCATCCACACAAGAGACACAGTGACCGGGCTGGGCGGGCGGAGACAGTCACGGCCCAGTGGTGACCGATATGCAGCAGGGTGGGGCGGGGGGCACCCGGTCACCCTAGGGTCACCCCACCCGCAAACCACAGGAACCCCCCCTCCCTGCAGTGAAATCCCAGCACCCGGGTGATAAGAGTTCACCGGGGTTTGGGTTTTGGGTTTTTCATGTTGTTTTAATTTTTTTCTTAAGCTGTTTGGGCCACACCCGCCCATGCTCAGGGCTGACTCCCGGCTCATGCACTCAGGAATCACTCCTGGCAGTGCTCGGGGACCCTATGGGATGCCAGGGATCGAACCCGGGTCAGCCGCCTGCAAGGCAAACGCCCTCCCCGCTGTGCTCTCGCTCCAGCTCTCCCAGAGTTGTTGTTTTGTTGTGGTTTTGTTTTGTTTTATTCTGGGGTCACCCCTGGCTGTGCTCAGGATGGACCCCTGACCATGTGTCCTGGTGGGGCTCAGAGGGACCCTATTTGGGTCCAGGGGTTGAACCGGGTCGGCCCTTTATAGGGTCAGCACCTCTCCTGCTATAATATCTCTAAAGTAACTGTGTGTGTGTGTGTGTGTGTGTGTGTGTGTGTGTGTGTGTGTTTTGGGGGGATGGGTTCCAAGCAATGCCCACTAAGCTTAGGGGCCCTCTTGGTGACTCAGTATCAGGAATCAGGGGCCAGAGCAACAGCACAACGGGGAGGGCATTTGCCTTGCACACAGCCGATCCGGGTTCGATTCCCAGCATCCCCTAGGGTCCCCCGAGCCCCGCCAGGAGTGATTCCTGAGTGCAGAGCCAGGAGTCAGCCCTGAGCATCGCCGGGTGGGACCCCAAAACAAACAGACAACAACAAAAAAATGTCAGGGATCATCCGGGACACCATCGTGGGTGCGGGCGGTGACCTCCCCACCCTCCAGGCCAGTTCTGTCCCCAGAGTCCTGTCAGGGAGATAAAGTGGGCTCAGAGTGGACCCCCTGACATCTCCTGGGGGGCCCTTTACTGTCCAAAAAGGGGCCGGGGGCGTTGAGGGGTGAGTCTGGGCCAGACACGGCCCTGATTCACTGTTCTGCAGAGAGGGTCACACGAGGGTCCCCGGGACGGCGTATGGGGGGGAATTGGGGGGCCCTGGAATATTGAGGGGTGCGGCTGGCAGTAACCCAGGTACGAGCAGGGGTCCTTTCTGTTTGCCTGGTGGAGACGGATTTGGGGGGATACCGAGCGATGCTTTTTCTGGAGGGGGCGGAAGGTCCAAGCGGGGGTCCCTGTTCTGGGGCCAGCTCGGCAGGAGGGACCCGGGGCTTTGTCCTCCTTCTGGAACCCAAAGGCACAGCAGGCCCGGGCGGGGGCAGCAGGGAACAATCTGGAACATCGGGAGCTGTGAGCCGCTGGGGTCTGCGGGGGTGCAGTGAGCGTCACCCCGTAAGTCCGGTCCTATCCCCCCCCAGCCGGCCTCCGCCCAAGACCCTCCAGGCAGCTTCAGTCTTTTCAACTTCGTGGTGGGGGGACAACCAGCAGGAGACCCCTGGGAAGGGGGAGGAGGGGGCAGCCCGCAGAGAGGAGGCGGCCTGGGCCCGGCTCCAGGCTGGGCTACTGCTATTTGTTCTGGAATGTTCCCACAGAGCTGAGCCGACTCCTGTGGGCGGGCGCGAGGCGAGGGGGGTGCGGGGGGGGGGATTTGTTCGACTCCCCCGAGATCGCGGGGTGCTGGGGAACGGCCCTTGGCGCCCGCCTGCGCCCCCACCCCCAAGGCATCCTCACTGACACCTGCATCCCATCTCCATGGCAACACAGATGCAGCCTCCTCCTCCTCCCCTCACAGAGACGCAGGAAGGATGCGGAAGGGCGACAGGCAGGCCACACCTGGGGGCCACACCTGACCCGTCCACACCTACCCCTACCCGGCCCCTGGCTGCTCCGGGCTCAGGTGTGCCTGGGATGGGGCTCGGCCCAGTGAGCACTGTGACCTGAGCACTCCTGGGTTGGCTCTGGGGCAGTGACATTCTTGGAGTGCTCAGCTCAGCTGGGCGGCAGGGCTGCATCTCTGGGTTCGAATCTGCCTGTTTTCTCTCCAGCAATAAATGCCAGGCTGGGGGCTGGAGTGACAGCACAGCGGGGAGGGCGTGGGCCTGGCACGCGGCCGACCCGGGTTCGATCCCCGGCATCCCCTAGGGTCCCCCGAGCACCGCCAGGACTGATTCCTGAGTGCAGAGCCAGGAGTCAGCCCTGAGCATCGCCGGGTGTGGTCCAAAAAGCAAAAGAGAGAGAGAGAGAGTAGGAAGGAAGAAAGAAAGAAGGAAAAGAGAACGAGAAAGAGAAAGAAAGGCGGTGAGGCTGGAGCGATAGCACAGCAGGGAGGATGTTTGCCTTGTACGTGGCCGACATGGGTTCAATCCCGGGCATCCCATAGGGTCTCCCGAGCACTGCCAGGAGTGATTTCTGAGTGCAGAGCCAGGAGTCAGCCCTGAGCATTGCCAGCGGGACCCAATAATAATAATAATAATAATAATAATATCCGGTCCATCACCCAGTTCAGCGCCTTGATCAATATCTGATCCATCCATAGGGGCCAGAGTGATAGCACAGTGGGGAGGGCATTTGCCTTGCACGCGGCCGACCCGGGTTCGATTCCCAGTTCGATTCCCAGCATCCCATATGGTCCCCCGAGCACTTTCAGGAGTGATTCCTGAGTTCAAAGCCAGGAGTAACCCTGTGCCTAGCTGGGTGTGACCCAAAAAACAAAATATGAGACCTTGAGGGGTCTGGAGTGATAGCACAGCGGGGAGGGCATTTGCCTTGCACGTGGCCAACCTGGGTTCGATCCCCAGCATCCCCTAGGGTCCCCCGAGCACCGCCAGGAGGGATTCCTGAGTGCAGAGCCGGGAGTCAGCCCTGAGCATCGCCGGGTGGGACCCAAAAGACCAAAAAGTAAAAAAATATATATATATAAAAAATAAATGAATAAAGTGGCCTGGTGGTCCCAGAGTGGGGAGTCATGAGCTCCCAGAATCAGGGGCAGGTGAAGGGGTCGTCACCCCGGGGTGCCGCCGGGCCCCGCTCCCAACCCCAAGCAGGGTGGAGGGGTCCCAGGAAGCTGATTCCCGGACAGCCCCCCCCACCCCTCACCCCCCACCCCCGCCCCCGCAGCTACGACTCGGCTCTGAAGGATTTCCAGGAGGCCCTGGGCCAACTTCGGGGCAACCAGCTGATCGACTACAAGATCCTGGGGCTGCAGTTCAAGCTGTTCGCCTGTGAGGTGAGCAAGGGCCGGAGGTGCAGCCTAGCGGGGAGGGCGCTGGCCCTGCACGCCGCCAACCCGGGTTCGATCCCCAGCATCCCTCAGGGTCCCCCGAGCACCGCCAGGAGTGACTCCTGAGCGCAGAGCCGGGAGTCAGCCCTGAGCATCGCCGGGTGGGACCCCCCCTCCGAAAAAAACAAAAACAATAAGAGGGAACTTGAAGCCGAGGGCTGGCTGGGTACTAGCTGAGTTCCCCCTCGCTCCGGGGACCCCACAAGCCAAGGAGCCCCCCGCTCCCGCCCAGCTCAGAAGCCAGCAACTTCTCTGCAAGTGTGAAACCAGGATGGATGCCCAGTGTGCAGCCCAGCCTGGGTCCCGCGGCTGACCAGGCCCAAGCAATTGTCACTTTCCGTGGCACCTGGCAACTGGGTTGGGGTTTCGTCCTGATCATCCCCACCGTGAGCCCGGTTCCCGGGTGCCAGCTCGACGGGACAGGACTTAACACTCATCAAGTCCAGCATCCGGGGGGGAGGGCGGGCCCCGCTGAGACCCCATCCCCCAGGCCGGCCCCTGGCCTCCTGCTTCCATTCCTGCCCGTTCCCCAGCACCCGGAGAGGGGGCGAGGGGTGGAGGGGTGCCAGTCTGCCTTCTGCCACCGGTCCCCAAAGCATCCGTCTCTCAGGTCTGCGGTATCCAACGGGACACAGGCTGGTTTTTCAGAGTCAGTAATTTTCCAGTAATTTTCTGCACGAGCCCCTCCTTGCCTGCGTTTAGCATCAAAGCCCCCCAGAGAGGACCCGAGATATTTTTATTTTTATTTTTTTTTTGCTTTTTGGGTCCCACCCAGCGATGCTCAGGGGCTGACTCCTGGTTCATGCACTCAGGAATCACTCCTGGCGGTGCTGAGGGGAGACCCTGTGGGATGCCGGGGATCGAACCCGGGTCGGCCGTGTGCCAGGCCAACGCCCTCCCCACTGGGCTGTCACTCCAGCCCGGACCCGAGAGCTTTATTTAGCAGAATCACCAGCTGTCGCGTCTCCAAGCAAGAGGAGCCAAATGTTCCCAGGATGGCTCAGCGCTAATAATAGAGTTTGTGGCCGGGACCCCAGGGAAGTCCCCTGAGCACCTCGGGAGGCCGCTGGAGTTTATCCCTGAGGGTCCAGCCAGCTGTAGTCCCGCTGTTCAAGAGCCTCAAAGTGCAACTTCCTTTGCCCGTGCAGTTCCAGGGGGCGGCTGGCGGCGTTTGTTAGTTCCCGGATTCCCCGTTCGGTAGGAATGTCAGGGTTCCTGATGCCAGCCAAGCCCCCCCGCCCCCACCCCAATTCCCGCCTATGCAGATTAAAGCATCGGGAGACACCGGAATGTTCTAGGAAAAAAAAAAAGGGTTCAGAAACCAACAAACGGAGTTGGTGGGTGGGACTTTGAAATGCCCCCAGGTGCGGTGCTGGGAAATACCCAGCAGGTTGGTTTTCTCCTGAGCCAGCCTGGGCTTTGCGGGTTCGAGGGCCCCTCAGGGCCCCGTGGGAAGCCCCCAGCAGTGACCCACTTCCTCTCCGCAAAGCCTCGGCCTCTGAGAAATCATGAGAAATCACGCCGACTTGCTCAGAAAGATCTGCCTGCCCCAGACCCCAAGTCATAAGAACTGACAAAAAGATGGTTTTATGTGTTGGTTCTGTTTTGGTTTTTTGAGCCACACCCGGCAGTGCTCAGGGCTGACTCCCGGCTTTGTGCTCAGGAATCACTCCTGACGATACGCGGGGGACCCTATGGAACCCAGGTTGGCCAAGTGCAAGGCCAGTGCCCTCCCTACTGTGCTATTACTCTGGCTCCTGGTTTGTTTGGTTTGAGGGCCCACCCCACACTTGCCTCTGCTCAGGGAGCAGAAAGAAGGAAGACCAGGGAAGCATTGGCCTTGCATATGGCCATCCACAGTTTGATCCCTGGCACCCCCCATGGGCCCCTGAATATCACCAACCCCACCTAGGCAGCACTGGGTGTGGCCCAGAAGGCCCCTGAAAACCCACCAAGGTGGCCCCGAACTCCCAGACCCTTGCAGTGAACCATCCCCCGAATCTCCAGGTCCTCACAGTGAACCATCCCCCGAATCCTCATGTCCTTGCAGTGAACCATTCCCCGAACCCCCAGGCCCTTGCAGTGAACCATTCCCCAAATCCTCACATTCTTGCAGTGAACGATTCCCCGAATCCTCACGTCCTTGCAGTGAACCATCCCCCGAATCCCCAGGCCCTTGCAGTGAACCATTCCCCGAATCCTCATGTCCTTGCAGTGAACCACTCGTCTGGTTGGCCAAGAAGAGGCCCCTGGAAGACTCCCCCAAACCCAGTCTCCCCGGTTTACCACCCAGGTCCTCACGTGCAGAACAAGCCCTTTATTCCGGCACTCGGGCAAGCTCCCTGCATGGCCAGGAGCTGGCTTGGAGGGCTCCAAGTTTGGGGGTCCTGGCGGCGGGGAGGGGTCTCTGCCTCTACACAGCCTCCCGCTTCCTGACACAGGTGCTGTACAACATCGCCTCGGTGCACGCCAGAAGGGAGGAATGGAAGAAGGCAGAGGAGCAGCTGGCTCAGGCCGCCAACTCGTGCCAGGCCGATCCCCGGCAGGCCAAAATCCAACGGGCCCTGGACAGCGTCTGGGTGAGACGCGTCCCCCTCCGCCTCCTTGACTCATTCTGCCTGGTGGGGGGACGCACCCCAGGGGGTCCTGCGACTGGCTCCTGGGGGTGCCCACCCTGGCCTGGGCTCCGTTTTTCTTTCTTTGGGGGATAGAGTAGGTGTCGGGGTTGGGGGGTGGGTGGGCACGGGGTTGTGCTCAGGGGCGACCCCTGGTGGCGCTGCGGGGAACGTGCGAGCCCTATCTGAGCGCCCGGCGCCGAGTGCGAATCCAACATCTCGTCCCTCGTCCACTGGGGACACTGTAGGGTCCCCCACTCATGCCGTGTCCTCCTGAACATCTCTGTCCAGCTCAGGGCAGCTCCGTAACAGGTTCCCACAAACGGCGACAACAGCCCGTGTTGGGATGATTCTGCAGTTAAGACGCTTTATTTTTTTTTTGGGCTTTTTGGGTCCCACCTGGCGATGCTCAGAGGTTCCTCCTGGCTTTGCACTCAGGAATCATCCCTGGCAGTGCTCAGGGGACCCTAGGGGATGCTGGGAATCGAACCCAGGTTGGCCGCGTACAAGGCAAACGCCAAACCCGCTATGCTATTGCTCCAGCCCCTAAACGCTTTTTTTTTTTTTTGGCTTTTTGGGTCCCACCTGGCAATGCTCAGGGCTGACTCCCGGCTCTGCACTCAGGAATCACTCCTGGCGGTGCTCGGGGGACTCTATGGGATGCCGGGGATCGAACCCGGGTCAGCCATGTGCCAGGCAGACGCCCTTCCCGCTGTGCTGTCTCTGGCCCTGGTTTGATGCATTTTTGTCCCCTCACTGATTCATTTCCCCAGGCGTGTGTGTGTGTGTGTGTGTGTGTGTGAGAGAGAGAGAGAGAGAGAGAGAGAGAGAGAGAGAGAGAGAGAGCACGCATATGTGCGTCCTGCTTTGTTGCAATGTCCCCAGCATCTTGGGTTCGTGCTCTCTGCCACTGGGATTGTTTTCCTGAGCCCCCAAATCCCATCTTCACTACTGGTTTGGGGGCCACACTTGGCGATGCTTAGGGGCTGCTCCCTAAGCAGTGCTCACACGTCACTCTGGATGGTGCTCAGCGAACCACACGGGGCTGGGGATGGCACCCAGGTCTCCAGAATACACAGCCCGATCCCAGCCCAGGCACCGCACCTCCTTGGCCCTTAAAAATCCAATTTCTGGGGGCTGGAGCAATCGCACAGCGGGGAGAGTGTTTGCCTTGCATGCAGCTGATCTGGGTTCGATTCCCAGCATGCCATAGGGTCCTCCGAGCACCGCCAGGAGTGATCCCTGAGTGCAGAGCCAGGAGTCAAACCTGAGCATCGCCAGGTGGGACCCAAAAAGCCAAAAAACAAAAACAAAAACAACTTAACTGCAGAATCATCTCAACACGGGCTGTTGTCACCATCTGTGGGAACCTGTTACAGAACTGCCCTGAGCTGGACAGAGATGTTCAGGAGGACACGGCATGAGTGGGGGATCCTAGAGTGGGACCCAAAAAAAAACAAAAAAAAATTTTTAAAGTTCAATTTCTGGGGGCTGGAGCAATAGCACAGCGGGTAGGGTGTAGGTCTTGCACGCGGCCGACCCGGGTTCGATTCCCAGCATCCCATATGGTCCCCCGAGCACCGCTAGGAGTAATTCCTGAGTGCAAAGCCAGGAGGAACCCCTGAGCATCACTAGGTGGTACCCAAAAAGAAAAAAAAATGTTCAATTTCTGGGGGCTGGAGCAATAGCACAGCAGGGAGGGCGTTTGCCTTGCATGTGGCTGACCTGGGTTCGAGTCCCAGCATCCTCTAGGGTCCTCCGAGCACCACCAGGAGTGATTCCTGAGTGCAAAGCCAGGAGGAACCCCTGTGCATTGCCAGGTGGGACCCAAAACGCAAAAAAAAAAAAAAAAAAAAAAAAAGTCCAGTTTCTGGAATGCGAGGGCCTCCAAGCCCTTGTGCAGACGTGAGTCACAGGACAGGGCTGACAGGTGACCGGGGGACATAGTGGGGGGAGGGAGGGCGTGCAGGGCATATACCCTCAGGGACGCCCGCAGGGTCTCCCTTAGGGGGCATACACAAATTGATTCCACAGGACCCCCTAAATAAAGCCAGTTCCAGGGATGCAGATGGGGGTGCAGACGGCATGTGAAAGTTCCCTTGTGTGGCCCCCAACACCTCATGATCCTTTCCTCCCAAAGCACCCCCAGGGGGGCCACGGTGGGCACTTCCCGTCCCCAGCAGGAATTTTGGGTGGGGGGTCCCCTGGGTGAGGAGTACGGGGCCCAGAAGGAAACCCCCCTTGGCTTGCAGAAGCAGAAGCCGTTCGAACCGGTGACGATCCCCACGGACAGGCTGTTCCGGCCAAACGAGCGACAAGTGGCCCAGCTGGCCAAGAAGGATTACCTGGGCAAGGCCACGGTGAGTGTGTCCAGCTCTGCCCAGGAGGAGGGGGCAGCTGGGACGGGGGTTATTGTGTGGTCGGGGAGGGGGGCAATTTTCCTTCCGAAGACCTGGAGTCGAGGGTCAGCCAAGTCTCAGCCGTGAGAGTGGACGGTGGGCATCGTGGCCAGCTGCAGTGGGCACTGGCCGCCCCTCCCCCTCACGCCCGCCCGCCTGCAGGTCGTGGCGTCCGTGGTGGACCAGGACAGCTTCTCCGGGTTCGCACCGCTGCAGCCCCAGGTGAGACCCCGCCCTGCAGGGAGCAGAGCTGGGGACGTCCCTAGTCTCCCCAGGGGCTGGGGGACACTCCCGACCCAACTCCTGCACCCCTATCTCTGCTGTGGTTGGAGACATCCGGGGGTCCCCTGGTTCAGCTCCTGAGCTTTTTCTTAAATTGATTGAGGTTCTGATTGATGGTTACTGATGGTTTTCGGGGCAGATCCCAAGCCCAGTCCCTCCCGGTGTTCCCACCTCCCTGCTTCAAGGACCCCCTAACAGAGCCGGGAGTCAACCCTGAGCACAGAGCCAGGAGTGAGCCCCGAGCACAGAGCCAGGAGTCAGTTCCGGGCACCTCTTTCCCTCCTAAGGCTGTCACCCCGTCCCCCCACGATGTGTCCAGACCTCAGGGCTGGTGGGCGCCAGATGCCGGCCTGGGGATGCCTCCCGGGGCTGGGGGACCTGTCCTGGGTCTGAAGCCAGAAGGGCTGGTGAGGCTGGGGGTGCGGAGGGAGGCCCGGACTGTCCAGCGTCAGCCCTTTCCCGTCCCACCGTGTCCACAGGCAGAAGAGCCCCCGCCTAGACCCAAGACCCCCGAGATCTTCAGGTAAGTGGGTCACCGGCTGCAGAGCCGGCGAGGACAGAGATGGGCGGGGACAGCTGGTGGGGGGTCACTCTGGGCAAAGGTCAGCTGGTGGGGGTCAGCTGGCGGTGGTCGGCCTGGGCAGGGTCAGCCTGGGCGGGGTCGGCCTGGACGCGGCCCGCGCCAGTGGACCCTGGGCCGCGCAGGGCGCTGGAGGGGGAGGCCCACCGCGTGCTGTTCGGGTTCGTGCCCAAGACCCCCGAGGAGCTGCAGGTCATGCCCGGGAACATCGTGTTCGTGCTGAAGAAGGGCAGCGACAACTGGGCCACGGTGCTGTTCAACGGGCAGGTGCGCGGGGGCGGGGTCTGGAGGGGCGGGGCCCGTGCGTGGGCGGGGCCTGGAGGGCGGGACCCGCACGGGGGCGGGACTTAGGGGCGGGGCCCGCGAGTGGGCGGGGCCTGGAGGGGCGGGGCCATCGCGAGGGCTGGACCACGCTCCGGGGCGAGATGTGGGCGTGGCCCCATCCTGGGGGCCGGGACAGGGGCGTCTTCCCCTCTGTATAGGCGTGGCTCCACTCTGGGGGTGCAGATAGGCGTGGTTCCTACCACGTGGGCGTGACCCCACTCTAGGGGCGGGGGTGTGGGCGTGGTTCCACTCTGCGGGGTAAGGATTGGGCGTGTTCCCTCTGTGGGCGTGGCCCCTCCCCGGGGGCGGGGACATGAGCGTGTTCCCTACTGTACTCTAGGAGCAGGGGTGTGGGCGTGGTTCCACTCTGGGAGCAAGGATCGGGCATGTGCCCTACTGTGTGGGCGTGGCTGCACCCTCGGGGTGGGGAGAGAGGCGTGGTTCCCACTAGTGTGCGTGGCCCCACTGGAGGGGCGCGGTGTGGGCGTGGCCCCACTCTGTGGGCGGGAATTGGGCGGATTCCCCCATGTGGGCGTGGCCACACTGAGGGCGGAATTTGGGCACGACTAGTACTGTGGGCGTGGCCTCACTCCGAAGGCGGGGGAATGGGCGTGGCCTCACCCTGAGGGCGGGGTGTGGGCGTGGTTCCTACAGTGTGGGTGTGGCCCCACTCTTGGGGCAAGGATTGGGCGTGTTCCCTACTGTGTGGGCGTGGCTGCACCCTCAGGGTGGGGAAGAGAGGCGTGGTTCCTACTGGTGGGCGTGGCCCCACTCTGGGGGCGGGGATTGGGCATATTCCCTCCATATGGGCGTGGCCGCACTGAGGGTGGGATTTGATTTGGGCACAGCTAGTACTATGTGGGAGTGGCCTCACCCCGAAAGCGGGGGGGGGGGGTTATGGGCGTGGCCTCACCCTGAGGGCGGGGTGTGGGCGTGGTTCCACTCTGGGGGCGGGGATTGGGCGTGTTCCTTATGTGGCCTCTCCCTGGGGGCGGGAGCATGGGCGTGTTCCCTACTGTATGGGCGTGGCTGCACCCTCGGGGTGGGGAAGAGAGGCGTGGTTCCTACTAGTGGGCGTGGCCAGACTCGAGGGGCGTGGTGTGGGCGTGGCCCCACTCTGGGGGCGGGGACTGGGCGTATTCCCCTAATGTGGGCGTGGCCGCACCGAGGGCAGGATTTGGGCACAGCTCCTACTATGTGGGCGTGGTCTCCCCCTGAGGCGGGGCTGTGGGCGTGGTCCCCGCAGTGTGGGCGTGGCCCCGCCCTGGGGGCAGGGTTCCCGCTCGGGGGCGGGGCCAGGCCCTGCTCCCATAGACAGATCTGCTCCTGTGTGGGTGCCTATGGGTGCTGGCCTGAGGCTGTGCATTGCCCTGCAGAAGGGGCTGGTGCCCTGCAACTACCTGGAGCCCGTGGAGCTGCGGATCCAGCCTCAGCAGCAGTCGCAGGTAGGGGGGCGCTTCGGAGGGGCAGGGAGTGGGCAGGTGGACACTGGGGCTTCCCCCACTCCCCGGGGTCCAGGGAGGTGTGGGGGCCCCCAGCCGGTGAGCTGAGGACCCCTGGGAGAAGAGCGGCTGGTGACTGCTGAAATGAGGGGGTGGGGGGTACAGAGACAGAGAGACGGAGAGGGGGGCTCTGTCTGCCTCACAGAAGAATCTGGAACTTCCCGGAGATTGGCTCTGAGCTCCTGCAGGCAGCCTGACACCTGCATCTTTGGGGGGGCGTGCGGGGACACCCCCCTCCCGGCTGTGGGCTGAGTGGGGTTGAGGGTCCCTGCTCCTTCCTGTCTCCCCAGGACGAAGCTGCCCCCGACGACATCCCGGCTCCCCCTACATCCCGAGCCCCCGGGAGGCCCACCCCGTCGCCAGGTCCGTGCCCCCCGAGCACGCAGTGTGGCCGGGAACCCCCCTCTCCTGCACCCCTCCATCTGGAACACAGGGAACACAACAGTCACGAGCATGGGGGGGGCGTGGGCTGGGGGGGCAGAGACTTCGTGGCCCCCTCTCTGCACTCCCACTGGGGAGCCAAGGATGCAAGAACGAACCTTCTGGAAGCTCTGGGCTCCCCATGTCCTGGGCCTCCAAGGCTGGGAGAGGCCCCCCGAGGGTGAGGCTTGTCACAACGGCCACATCCAGAACGTTCTTTCTTTCCGCCAGTGTGAGCACCCTCATCTCCCCTGGAGGATTCCGGGGAGTCCCCCAGGGGGTGCTGTACCCCCCACGGGACCCGCAGCCCCTTCCTGGGGTCCCCAACCATGCCAGGCGGGCTCCCCATTTCCCTTTGCTATGCTGAGATCCCCGGACCCCATACGAGAGGCTTAAGGGGGCCCCAGGCGCTCACCACGGGGGCTCTGGGACCCACTTCAGCTCGTCTCCCTCCTCCACAGGTGGGGAAGCAGGAGGACCCCAGGTAACTCTCATCTGTTTCCCACCCGGCCGGAGGAGTCCCAGCGGGGGATGGGGGGTGCAGGCCCTCCAGCTCTGTGGGAATTCGGGGCCCTCGTGTGTGGGGGGGAGAACAGTGAGTCAGGGGCGATGAGCCCTGGTGCTCTAGAAAGTTCCCCGATGGGGCTGGAATGATAGCACAGCAGGTAAGCCGTTTGCCTTGCACACGGCCGACCCGGGTTCGATTCCCAGCATCCCATAGGGTCCCCTGAGAACTGCCAGGGGTGATTCCTGAGTGCAAAACCAGGAGGAACTCCTGAGCATCGCCAGGTGTGACCCGAAAAGAAAAAAAAAAAAGACTGGGGCTGGAGCAATAGCACAGCGGGTAGGGCGTTTGCTTTGCACGCGGCCGACCCGGGTTCGATTCCCAGCATCCCATAGGGTCCCCTGAGCACGGCCAGGAATAATTCCTGAGTGCATGAACCAGGAGTAACCCCCGTGCATTGCCGGGTGTGACCCAAAAAGCAAAAAAAACCCAAAAAAGTTCCCCGAGCCTGCAGGTGCTGACCTGTCCCACCCACCCCCAGGAGGTCCAGCTCAGGGTGCCCGACTTCTACACCCTGAAAGTACACCACAAGTTCACAGTGGTCCTGGAGACACAGCCGGGGGTGCCCTACGAGCAGCTGCGGGCGGCCGTGGCCCAGAAGCTGCGGCTTCAGCCTCAGCACACCAGGCTCAGGTGAGCGGGGACGGTCCCCGGGGCCCTGCCCGGCCCAGCCGCCGCTGACCCCACGTCCCCCCCGCCCCCAGCTACCGGGCTCAGGACAGCCGGGAGCTGCAGCCCCTCTCTGAGGAGACCCTGAAGGCCGCCTGGGCCGGGGCCAAGGACTTCAGCCTCACGCTGTGGTGTGAGAGTACAGTGGTGAGTGCGGGCGGGCGGGCGCCCTCCACGCTTGGACCCCGGGAAGCGCTGTCCTGTCTCTGTGCGGATCCCAAGAAGGGGGAGTAAGCCCCCCTCCCCGTAGCATCACCGAGTCAGGGTGCTCCAAGGACCCCACTGGGTCTTGGTGCCTCCTGGGGAGGATCCAAGCTCGCCTGCCCGCAGCTGACTCCAGAACCCAGTGAGGTCCCCGGAAGCCCTGAGCACTGCCGGAGTGACCCCGGAACTCCTTCAGCACCAGTGTATGGGGGGGCTGGAGGGAGGCCCCTTGAGGGGTCCCTCAGCGGAGCTGAGCCAGGGCCAGAGTCTAGCGAGTGGCGAGGACCCTGGCTCTACGGCACCCCTAGAGGTCCCTGCAGAGGACCCATCAAAGCCGGCTCTGATCACCAGGGGCCGGAGTGACAGCACATCGGGGATGGTGTTGGCCTGGCACACGCCGACCCGGGTTCGATCCCCGGCATCCCGTAGGGTCCCCCGAGCACCGCCAGGAGTGACTCCTGAGTGCAGAGCCAGGAGTCAGCCCTGAGCATTGCCGGGTGGGACCTCCAAAAAGAACAACAAAAAAGTGTGATGTTTGACCACTCAGGGTCACAGGAGTGCAGGGCTCCGCCTGCCTCACCCCAACTCCCAGCAGGGAGGGGACTGGAGTCTGCGAGTCCCTTGTGGGAGGTTCCACGCATCCGCGGAGGGACTCAGCGGGTTCCCAGTGCCCCCAGAGCTAAGGCCCCAACCCTAACCCGAGAGGGACAGCCCTCAAGTCTGGGCAGAGCCAGCGGTGTCCAGGAAGCGGGCAGTGTCCAGCACTGGGCTCTCCACCCGTCCCGCCGCCCGCAGGGGTGGGGGCGGCAGAGGAGGATGGTGGTGGTCTCTGGGGCTCTGCCCGCTGTGCCATCTCTGTCCGGACCCCCGTTGCGGCTGTGGATCTGGGATACCAAGGGCCCCTTGTGATTTCAGGGGGACCAAGGGGTCCCAGAGGAACAGGAAGGGCAGGAGGGCGCCGGGCTGGCCCCGCCCGCGGCGGACGAAGTGAAGGAAGGCAGCCAGGTGGTGGCACTCTTCAGCTACCAGGCCACCCAGCCCGAGGACCTGGAGTTCCAGGAGGGGGACGTCATCCTGGTGCTATCCCAGGGTGAGTGACCACTGGGCAGTGTCGGGCCGAGGGCTCCCCCGCCCAGCCCCCCGGGCTACGGCACTCGCAGGGGGCCGGGAAATGGCTGAACACATGTTGAGAATGGGGGTGGGGCTGGAGCGATGGCACAGTGGGGAGGGCGTTGGCCTGGCACACGGCCGACCCGGGTTTGACTCCCGGCATCCCATAGGGTCCCCTGAGCACCGCCAGGAGTGATTCCTGAGTGCAGAGCTGGGGGTCAGCCCTGAGCACGCCGGGTGGGACCCAAAAAGCAAAAAAATAAAATAAAATCAGGAGAGCGGGAGAGGAGGGGGAGCCCCCTCCCCCCCCAACGGCCAGCAGGTGCCAGCTTCCGCCTGTCTCCCTCTGCCTCTCTCCGCAGTGAACCAGGAGTGGCTGGAGGGTGAGAGCCAGGGCAAGGTGGGCATCTTCCCCAGGGCCTTCGTGCGGGCCCCGGCGGCCGCCCAGAGCAGCCCACGGAGCTGACGGCGGCCACACACACGGAAGGGTGTCCCCGGAACCCAGCCGGCCGGCACCTTGGGAGGCTTCAAGGGCGCGCACGCGGGAGGAGCTGTGGGCTCACTCACGGCAGGTGTCGGGGGTCCGAGGGCGTCTCTTGCCGCTGCGGGTGTGATACCTCAATAAAAACGTGAACACAAGGGGCTGGAACGAGAGCAGAGCGGGGAGGGCGTTTGCCTTGCACACAGCCAACCCGGGTTCGATCCCCGGCATCCCATAGGGTCCCCTGAGCCCTGCCAGGAGTGATCCCTGAGTGCAGAGCCAGGAGTCAGCCCTGAGCATCGCCGGGTGGGACCCAAAAAGCAAAAAACAAACAAACAAAATCATAAAAACGTGAACAAGAGCAGCCCCTCGCCCCCTTTCCGGTTCCGGGGCGAATACGTCTCTTTCTGCGCCGTTTCCACCACCCACAGGGGACAGAAGTGACACTCGGGGAACTGGGTCCTCAGGCCCGTCGTTCACTCTCAAGTCTCCCCTGCTGGGGTCCGGGGGTTTTGTCTGGGGGGAGGGGGTACATGGCGTGGCCCAGGCGCCCCCCAAGTTCCGCAAAACCCCCAAGCATTGCTGAGTGTGGTCCGAGAGGCTCGGAGAGCCCCCCAAGTCTCAGTGCTTCAACGAGGCCTGGGCTGAGTCGGCCGGGAGCGAATCCAGCTCGTTTGGCCGTTGCGGACCCGAACGGGGAGAGAGCGAGAAAGAAGGAGAGAGGCAGAGACAGAGAGACGGGAGAGAGAGAGGAGAGCGTGCGCTGAGCTTCCTGCACTGAGGTTCCGCACGCCCGAACCCTTCCAGGCGGCCGCCGTGGGAATTCTGGCCCCGGCCCCCGCTCCCCGCCCCCATCCCGGGAGCCAAGAGGCGCCGGACGCGGGGCGTGGTGGATGGAGAACATGGTTTAATCGCGGCCCGGCTGCCCTCGGCGGGCCGGGCACAGGCAGGGGCAACCCCAACGGAGAACAGAAACCCCAACAGGAAAGCGAACACAAAAGTCAGGTCACGACACGAAACCGGTTTCCGGTGACTCTCTTCCCCCTCCGGGCTCGGGAGCCGCCCGGGGTCCATCCGACACATTCCACACACCGAGTTCTCATGCAGAAGACACGGGGCTGCGGGCGGGCGGGCGGGCGGGGGTGGGGGGCGGCGTCAGGCTGGAATGTCGCAGCTGCCGGAGCTGAGCTGTCGCACACGCGGGGGGTGGGGGGCCGCGGGGTGGGTGGCCGGGCCGGGGGTCTCCGGGGCCCGCGCCCGGCCAGAGAGGAAAACCAAACCCACACCCCTGCGGCGCGTCCTGGGGCACCGGCCCCCAGGGCGGGGACCCCTTCCCGCGACCCCGGACCCCCACCCGGGAACAGCACCCCCAACGTTGGGCCCACGTCCCGTCTCTGCGGGGGTCTCGGCTTCCCGGCGGTCGGGGCCGTGACAGTCACCGAGGCCGGCCCGTGGGGGCGCCAGGGGCAGGAACCATCGTAGCACACAGCGGGGAGCGGGGTGTGGGGGGCTCTCCCGCCCCCCACCCCAGGGAAGCTCTGAGGGGCCGCCGGCCTGCGCTCGGCCGGGCCCCCACCGCCCCGACGGGCCACGGCGTCTCCAGCCCACGGGCCGGGAGCTGAGTCGGCAAAGCCTCTTTATTCCTGCCCGCCCTCGCGGCTGCCCGGAGGTGGCCGGGCCGGGCCAGGCTGGGCCGGGCCGGGGGCGCCGTCGGGGCCGACCCCAGGCGTGGCGCTGTGGCCCCCTGGGGCGTCTCGTGCACTCGGCCGGCCGCTGGGGCGCGGGCCCCTCCGACGGGGCCCCGGCTGCCCAGGCTGCGGGGCCAGGCCCGCCCTCTCCGCGTCTCGGCTCCGCGCGGCCTCAGTGTGGCGGGTTCAGGGTCCCGTGTCCGCGCTGCTGCTTCTGTTTCTGCTGCAGGAGCAGCTGTTCCAGCGCCGACGGGCCGGGCTGCATCATGGAGCTGGACCAGATGGACTGCGGGTGGGCAGGGGTCAGCCGGGGTCAACACGCCGGGGAGGGAGGGGGACCCGCCACCGACGGTGCGCCCCGACCTGACCCGACCCGTCCCACACGCACCTTCAGGCTCTCCATGAGGACGGCGGACGAGTCCTCGACGGCGGGGCCGTGCCCGGTCCAGGGCCCGCCGGCCGAGCTGGGCTGCTGCCAGCTACTGTCGGAGGCCGGCGCGGCCGAGAGGTAATCGGAGCCGAACCCGCACATGGCTGCGGCGGGGAGACGGGGGCGTCAAGCGTTGAGCACGGGGACGCCGCCCCCCCCCCCGCCCACCCCGGCCGCCCGGCTCCCACTCACCCGGCTTGTCGGCTTTCCAGCGGTCGGCGACCCTGCGCTCGCGGCTGTCGGGGGCCCCGATGGGCCCGAAGGTGGAGAAGGGTGCGGCGCTGTGGCTGTGCGTGGGCGGGGAGCTGGGCAGGCTGCTGGGGTTCGAGGAGTGCGGGGACTGGCTGGCCGGTGTCGAGTGATCTGGGGGGGCGGGAAGGAGGGCGGTGGCGTGGGGAGACGCCCCAAGGACACTTCGGCACCCCACAGGGTCGGGGCCCCAGAGCAGAAAAACACCCAGGGGGCACACAGAACCCTGGAGGTCCCTGGGGCGGGGGGGTAAACTGAGGCCTGGACAGGCTCGGGGCCACAGGGAACGAATCCCACCTTCTCGGTCCCCAAGCTAGACTGACTAAACAAACTTTTTTTTTTCTTTTTGGGTTGCACCTGGCAATGCTCAGGGCTGACTCCTGGCTCTGTGCTCAGGAATCACTCCTGGCGGTGCTCGGGGGACCTTAGGGGGTGCCGGGGATCGAACCTGGGTCAGCCACATGCCAGGCCAGTCCCTCCCTGCTGAACTGTCTAGTTCTGTGACTCTATTATTATTATTATTATTTTTGCTTTTTGGGTCCCACCCGGTGATGCTCAGGGCTGACTCCAGGCTCTGCACTCAGGGATCACTCCTGGCGGGGCTCGGGGGACCCTAGGGGATGATGCCGGGGATCGAACCCGGGTTGGCCGCCTGCCAGGCCAACGCCCTTCCCTGCTGTACGATCGCTCTGGCCCCCAAACTTCTTTACAAATCAGTTAACCCCCCCCAGGGAGCCGTGCACAGCGGGGACAAACCCCAGAACCTGCACCCCCCACCCCCCGCCCCGCTCCCCCACCGACCCGAGGCCACACCTGAGCTGGCAGGAAGCGACGGCGACCAGGGCGTCCCCTCGAACAGGGAGTAGAGGGAGGTCTCGCGGGGGGCCATGGCGGGGTGCAGCTCCGCCGAGGGGCTGGCGCTCTTCCCATATACCTCGCCGAAGACGCTGTGCGTGGGGTGTCTCTCCTGGAAGACGCCCAGAGTCAGCCGGGGGGTGGGGGGGCCCCCGCGGGGCACGGCCCAGGCTGGGGGGATGGAGAGGGGTCTCACCTGGTTGAGCGAGAAGCCGGTGGTCGTGAGGGACAGGAAAGAGGAGGAGTGCGAGATGAGGTCGGACGGCTTCTCCAGCAGGGACTGCTTCAGGCGGGAGGAGAGAGAGGGGCCGTGAGCTCCCGCGGGGGCCAGGGCTGCGTCACCAACACCCCCGCAGTGAGACCCCCAGGACCGGACTCGGCACCTCTAAGACACCAGAGCCCGGAGTGGCCCGGCCCGGCCACGACATGAGGAGCCTGGCCGCCCGACAGCCCCCCACCAGCCTGCAGGTGCCCCCCGAGGGAGCTTCTGGCCCGGGAGAGGGGTCACGGCTGACCCTGGCCTGTAACGTCCACGTCTAGGAACCGAAGTGGGAGCGTTTGTGGTCTCTGCGGTAGCATCTCCACGTCCCCCCTAGGGGTGGCCATGAGCGCTGAGAAACACAGGCTGGGGTCTACTGGGCTTGGTCTGTTGTCAGCTCGGTTTCGGGGCACACCTGGAGGCCCCAGGGGGTTACTCCTGGTGGTGCTGGGCGGCGTACGAAGGGCCAGCCCTGCAGAGCACGCGCCTGAACCCCACCTCTTTGGCCCCTAGACTAATCATTGGCTTTCTTCCCCCCTTTTTGGGTCCGCCCAGTGATGCTCAGGGTTGACTCCTGGTTCATGCACTCAGGGATCACTCCTGGCGGTGCTCGGGGGACCCTAGGGGATGCTGGGGATCGAACTTGGGATGGCTGCATGCAAGGCAAACGCCCTCCCTGCTGTGCTATCGCTCCAGCCCCCTAGACTAGCATTGTTATCTGGTTTTAGGCCACACCTGGCGGTGCTCAGAGGACCCTAGGGGATGCTGGGGATCGAACCCGGGTCGGCCATGTGCCAGGCCCTGCATGCCGGTGCCAGCCCTCCCTCGCCCTGGGGGCCCGTTCGCGCTCCTGCACTGGGGAGCAGCCAAGTCGTGGCGTTGGGCCCGGGGCCGCCTCCCTGACCTCCACGGGGCCGTCCAGGGACCCAGCGGACTGGGCCGCGTCCCGTCCAGAGCCGCCCGAGAGCCCCCCGCCCCCCGGGGCCTGACTTCTCGGTCACCCTGTGCTCGCGGGGAAGGGGACGCGGAGGCTGTGAGCAGAGAGCCCGAGCGGAGGCAGCGGCAGAGGGAGGCAGAGCGGGCGGGCGGGCGGGTACATACAAGCAGGCTCCGTCCGGGGAGAGACACGAGGGGCCCCAGCAGAGCGGGGTAAAGGTCGGGAGGGTTAGAGAGAAGCAGCTCGTCCTCGTCCTCCAAGGCGGCCAGACTTTTTAACAGGTCCGGGGGGAGCAGAGGGGAGCCCTTGGGGTCCTAGTGACAGAAAGGGGCGCCGGCCGGGGGCGCGGTTAGTGCCGGAGGCGAGGAGCGAGCGGGGGCGGGGCGCGAGGACGGGCCGGGCCTGGTCTAACCCGCGCAAGACCCCCTCCCCTTCCCTTCCCTTCCCTTCCCTCCCCTTCCCTTCCCTTCCCTTCCCTTCCCTTCCCTTCCCTTCCCTTCCCGAGGGACCGCGGCCAGGGCCCGCCTGCCGGGAGCAGGCCCCGAGCACACAGGAGTGAGTCCCTCGGCAGCCCAAAGCACACGCACACACACACAGGCACACACGTGCACACAGACCACACGCGCACCTAAACCGCATGCACACACACACGTGCAATAGACCACACCCACACACAAACCACACCCACGGACCACACCCACACCCACATGCACATACACGCACCCAAACCACACGCACGTGCACATAGACCACACACACGCACATGGACCACATCCATATGTGACACACACGTGCACACACGCCACACGCACTTGCACATGCACACGTGCCCACGTGCTCCCGTAACACAGGCACACGCACGCACCACCCCCGCATATTCACGTGACACACCCATGCACACGCACACGCAGGCAGACCCACCCACGTACGTGACACACTCACGCACACATGCGTGTACGTACTGGCAGACACACCCACATGTGTGACACCTGTGCACACGCTCGTTGTACACATGCCTGCATACTCACGCGCACAGACCACACACACGCATACACACATGACCCACGTGCACGCACATTCCACGCACACCGCAGAGGCCCGCATGCCCACGTGCACACAGACCGATGCTCACAGACATCGGCACGTGGACACACACACGGCGGCATATACCCACGACCCACGCGCAGACACGCACACCACCACGTGCCGAGCGCACACGCGCAGACACAGGAAACGGCGACCGCAGCGGCCACTGACCTCGAAGGGCGCCCTGGGCGCGGCGTCCTGCTCGGGCCGGAAGCCCCCGGGCGGCCGCTTGGCCCTGCGCTCCAGCCCCGCCTGCTGCGTGCGCGCGGCCCGGCGGTCCCAGTAGAGCTCGTGGCCGCGCGGGGCCTCGGCGGGGCCGTGGCCGTAGGGCTCGAGCGGGAAGGGCTTCGGCGGCGGCGGCTTGTCCAGCGGCGGCTGCGAGCCGGGGGGCGGCAGGGGCGGCTCGAAGAGCTTGAGGGGCGGCTGGGCGGGCAGGAAGCAGGGCTCCTTCACGGGCAGGACCCTCCCCAGCGGGCCCGGGACCTGAGGCGGGTTCCACAGCTGCTTGGAGGCGTCGGCCTGCGGGTACTGCACGGGAGGGCCGGGCGTGAGGGCCGGGCAGCCCGGGATGGGGCCGCACTCAGGCCGGGGTGCGCGCGCGCTTGGTCGCGCGTGTGTGTACGTGTGCATGTACGCACACACGCGCATGATTGTGTGGTCACGCGTGTGTACGTGTGCATGTGCGTACGTACATGCATGGTAATTGTGCATGTGTATACGTGTGCATATGTACATGCTATGCATGTGTGGCCGCACACATGTGTATGTGTATGTGCATGTGTGCACTGTGGGTGCGTATGTGTACATGTGCATGCAAGTGTGGTCATGCATGTGTACATGTGTACATAAGCACGCATGGTCATGCATGTGTGGGCGTGTACATATGTACATGCATGCATGGTCGTGCATGTGTGTATGTGTGCGTATGTGCATCTATACATGTGTGGTAGCACATATGTGTACGTGTGCCTATGTGCATGCATGAATGTGTGGATGCACATGTGTGTGCATATATACATGCTATGCATGTGTGGTAGTGCATAGGTATACATGTGTTTGTGTGCATGCGTGCACTGTGGGCACACATGTGTACATGCATATGTGCGTGCATGCATGTGTGGTCGTGCATGTGTGCACATGGTTGTGCATGTGTGTATGTGTGCATATGTGCATGCATGCATGAGCTCCCCACGTCTCCTTGAGGCTGGACACTCTCCCCCTGACATTCCCCGGCAGGGCGGCTGCTGACCCATGCCCGGGAAGAAGGGGCTTCGTGACCACTCCCTGCTCCTTCAAAAAGGGACACACGTGCGTCTCCTGGACTTCTGTGCCCCCCGAATCATGCCCCAGTTTGGCGGGAAGAGCTGTCTCGAGCGCCCGAGGGAGGACAGGAGGACAGAAGGACAGAAGGACAGACGGCCGGACCCACCTGCTGGAACCCAGAGTGGTGCGGGGGGCTCTTGCCCGGGGTGGGCCCGGCCTTGGTGGGCGACTGCGGCTGGCCGAGCGCGGGCACCTGCAGGGGTCCGGCGGGCTGGGCCGGGGGCTGCGCAGGCGGGGGCGCGAGGGGGGGCCCCGAGGGGCGCTGCTGGCTGTAGGGGATGTGGGACTGCTTCCCCGCGGGTCCCTGGCTCCCGGCCGCCGCGTGCGTCGCAGGCTGCAGGAACGGCCCCGGCACGGACACACCGGCCGGGAAGGTGTAGCCCGAGCCCACAGGGAAGGCCACGGGCGGCGGGATCACGTAGGTCGGGGGCGGGAACCCTGCGGAGGGAAGAGCCCGTCAGTGCCGTGGGGGGCACCACGGGGCCTGGTGCGGCCAGGTGTGGCCCCTGCAAGACCAAAGCAGGGGGGTCACCACTCGGGCCTGCGAGGGACCCTCTTGTCTGCGTGATGACGCGGGTGGGTTCTGAGAGGAGAGGCGGGAAGACGCCTGTCCCGCCCCTGCACGGCCACGAGGGACCCGGGCAGAGCCCGCAAGCGGCCCACCCACCCACGTCCGTCCCTTCCCAGCCCCGGGAGCCCGAGTGACCCGGGGGGACAGAACCGCGGCCGCAGGGACACACCGGGCCGGCTGGGCAGCGGGGGGAAGGCCCCGGGGTGGTGGAGGGGGATGAACTGGGCGCTGCTGGCGGGACTCGCCGTCGGGGTCACGGGCGTCTTCCTGGCTTCGGACACGGGTGTCTTCCTCAGCTCCGTCTGCGACTTCGCCTGGGACGGATGGAGACAGCCGTGGGGTCACGAGTCGCCAAGTGGGACCAGGGGGCCGTGACCCAGCATTGGGTGGACGGCGTGCCCCCCCCCCACAGCAGGCCCCACACCTGTCCCCTTCCCTGTCCAGCCCCGCCCTGCTCCCCCTGAGTGACAGTGACCCCGTCCCCCCTCCTCCCCCATGGAGCCGAGTGTCCTCCCAGGGACCCGTTCTCCAGCCCAACTCAAGCATTTTGGGTTCGGGGACCACACCCAGTGTGGCTCAAGGCTCGGGGAACCCTACGGCATGCCGAGGGTCGAACCCGGGTCGGCCGCACGCCAGGCCAACGCCCTCCCCGCTGTGCTCTCACCCCGACCCCAAACATAAGGATTCAAGCCGCTTGACACTCGGACGTGGTGGACAGCGGGAGCGCCAACCCCACGCACGGTGGGCGCCAGAATGGGCGCGAAGAGCCTTTCCTCGTTTCATGCCGGGGCAAGAGGTGGGTAAGGTGGTTTTGGGGTCCCAAAAACCAAAGAGCCCTCAGCATCCCACCTGGCGATGCTCAGGGCTGAGTCCCGGCTCTGCACTCAGGAATTACTCCTGGCGGTGCTCGGGGGACCCCAGGGATGCTGGGGGTCGAACCTGGGTCGGCCGCGTGCCAGGCCAATGCCCTCCCCGCTGTGCTATCTGTCCAATCCCATCACTCTTATCATTACTGTTAACATTATTATTTTGGCCTTTTGGGTCCCACCTGGCAATGCTCAGGGCTGACTCCCGGCTCTGCACTCAGGGGTCACCCCTGGCGGTGCTCGGGGGGACTCTAGGGAATGCCGGGGATCGAACCCGGGTCGGCCACATGCAAGGCCAATGCCCTCCCCGCTGTGCTGTCACTCCGGCCCCCTGAAGACCCTTCTCCTATTTGGAAAGGTGCAAGAAACCCAGCCTCGCGTGTTTCTTTCTCCCAAGACTCGGGCCCGGGACAAATTCCCGGGGGCCAGGATGACCCGGAAGTGGTAACATGGCAATCAGGAACCTTCTCCTAAGACTTGCATCTTTTTAACAACCACCAAACCACCACGGAAACCCCCGGGAACGGCATCAACTCCCACATCCTGGGGACCCCAGGGGTTCTCTGCAGCACCCACCAGACACTCCGAGGGCTTCTGCAACCGAGCCTCACTGCACCCTGGAGGGAGGCCGCCCTCGGCCAGGCACCCTGCTTCCTGGTGGGGTCTGAGGGTGCCCGTCTCTCGCCCTGGGTGCGGCCGACACCCCCTCCCCCCGTGCCCTGCGGCCTCTAAGTTGCATTGCTGGGCTTGTGAGGCCCAGGGGACCCTCAGGGATGTGGGGGTCGAGCCCAGAGCGCCCTCCCCGCGGCCTCACCTCCTTGGGCGGGAAGGGCCGGGCCGGCTCCCGGCTGGCGTCACGGGGCTTGCTGTTCTCCTTGAAGGAGACGGCGGGCTTGTCCCCGGGCTCGCCGTGGCCGCCGCGGCCCGCCGACACGGGGGCCTCGCTCGCCACTGCTGCCGCCGCCGGCTCTTGCGGAACAAGGTTCTCTTTGGCGTCACTGGCGTCTTCCAGTATTAACTCTGGGATCTCTGTGATAAACAACAATTTCCCTACCTCATTTTCACACTGAATCAGCCTAAAAAAAGTAGAGATAAATCCACATATGAAAAACGGAGACTGGAAGGCAGCCCTATAGCCGGCCGGCCGCTGGGAGGGGCTCCACGCCCGGCTGCTGGGGTCCCCGGTCCAGGCCCCGGGCAGGACACACGGGACCCCTGACCCCGCCGCACGCTCCAGGGCCTTCCAGGGGACCAGGGGGCCTGGCCTGCTCCTCAGCCCGCCAGCTGGCCGCGAGTTACGGCCCCCGACTGACCGTGAGCTTTACACCCCCCATCCCGCCCCCCGCCCGTGCAGGATGAGGCCCCGGACTTGAACCCGGGGCCGGGCTGCACGCCGTCTCTCGCTCTCCAGGCCTCCAGCCATGGGAACTGCCGCGGGGGGCAAGTCCCCTCAGACCCGGCATCTCACGAGGACCAGACCGCCTGCCGCCAGCCCCCGCCACCCCCACCCGCCGGGCTCCGGGCCGCGCGGGAGGCGAGGCCGACCTGGGCTGGTTGTCGGCGATCCACTTGCCGATGGAGATGAGGCGCTGCTGCCGGATCTGCCGCTGCTGGCCCTCCTTGTCGCCCGGGATGCCCTGGTGGCCTTTGGAAAAGTCCAAGTTCCTGCGGCGACGGGGGGCGAGAGCGGGCGGTCACGGGGATGCGGCGGCCAGGGGCGCGTCTCGTCAGGCCAGGGGGGGCCGGCACAGCCCCGCCAGGAGCGGGCCCTGAGCGCCACGGACCCCAGAGCTCGGCCATGGGGCACTCGCCCAGGCGTCCCTGTCACCACGGTCCAGTGCCTGGCGCAAGCATGTGTCTGTGTGTGCAGGTGCATCTGTGTGTGTGAGCCAGGCGTCAGCCCTGAGCACTGCTGGGCGAACCCCCAACACAACCAAAATATAGGGGGGGAAAATAAAACAAGATCAAGTAAAAGGCCAAGTCAACGAGGCCGGGAGGGGGTGGAATATTACGCAGCCGGTAAGAATCCCACCCCCAGCTGCTTCCACGGGGAAGTTGCGCGTGGAACTTCTTGTGTGTGTCCACGTGCGTCTGTGCAAGTGTGTGTGTGATCGTGCACAAGCGTCCGCCCACCTGTGGGTGCATCAGTGCATGTGTCTGCACGTGTGCGTCTGTGTGTGTGCGTGTGCCCCCGTGCACGCGTCCCATGTCCCAGCCCCCCACCCCCGCCCGCCGTCAGCCCCGCGTACCTGAAGGAGGGCCGGAGCGCCAGGAAGCCCTGCAACTCAAACTCCTCGGGCAGCGGCGTGGCTGGGAGGGGCGGAGAGCAGCCGCGGTGAGCGTGAGTGAGGCCCGGAGGCTGCTGGGATGGGGGGCCCGCCCCCACGACCCTCCCTCGGGTCTGTCTAGAGGTCGCTCTGCTCCCGAGTTGCTCAGGACACAGTGACGCTGCTGGGGAGCGGGTGAGAGCCGCAGACCCCAGGCACGCCTCTGACACTCCATGTCGTCACAAGACCCCCACGGAGTGAGCCTCAAGGCAGGACTGCGGGGCCGTGAACCAGAGGAAGAGAAGGTGCCAGAAAGCACTCACTGGACAGCACCATAAAGGGCCACGTAAGGCTCGGGGAGGATCAACCAAAGCACGGGGGCAGGGCGCGGCCTCGCACGTGGCCGGCAGGCTTGGATCCGGCACCCCACTGGAATAATCCCCTGAGCACCGCCAGGAGGGATCCCCGAGTGCAGAGCCTGGAGTCAGCCCTGAGCACTGCTGGGCGAACCCCCCACACAACCAAAATACAGGGGGGTAAAAAACCAGGACCAAGTAAACGGCCAAGTCAACGTGGCCGGGAGCGGGTGGAATACTATGCAGCCGTTAAGAATCCCACCCCCGGCTGCTTCCACAGGGAAGCTGCCCGTGGAACGTCCAAAGCCCGGGGCTGGGTGGGGAGCGTTACCGTTGGTGCTGGACAGGTCCTCCTCGTGTGGGTGGAAGCTATTGAGCAGGGCAATGAGCCAGGGCCAGATGCTGCGGGCAGAGAAGACCCTCAGCCGGGCCCAGTCGACCCGGCCACACACTGCTCCTCCCCTACAGGCAGGGGAGCACGGCCCACCCGGAGCCTCCCGAGAGCAGCCCCCGGGGCCACTGGGGGAGGACGGCTCTGAGCAGTGTCAGGGAGGGAACAGGCAGCCCCTCCCCCCGCAGAGGGGCCCCAGGCCCCCCAGACAGCCCCGAGGGGTCAACGGGGGGAGAGAACGCTCTGCCCAACCCCGGAAGGGAAGCGAGGGGACGGAATGTGGCTACAGCAGCGTCCCTGGTGCCCACGCATGCCCAGGAACACGGGATCTCCTGACCGGGCCCGCCCAGTCTCCTCGGTACAGGAGGGGACAGGCCGCCCCCGCCCCCACCCTGGCCAGGCTCTTCATACCTGTGGGACGCACATGCACACACACACACACCTTCTGCACGCATGTGAAACAGCACACGTGTCCGCACACACGCACAACACACTAAGTAACACACAGCTCCTACTCTGACACACACTAACACACCTTCTGCATGCATGTGAAAGAGCACATGTGTACGCGCACACATGCAGAGTAACACAGCTCCTACAGAGCTGACCACACTGACCACACCCCCAGACACTGACCACACACCGGGACACTGACCACACACTGACTACACCCCCAGACGCTGACCACACACTGACACACCCCCAACACAGACCACACCTCCAGACGCTGACCACACACTGACCACACCCCGGGACACTGACCACACAGTGACCACCCCCCCGCCAGCCCCGGGGCCACTCACTAGCGCCTCTCGTCCACCACGGCCTCCTGGAAGACGCGCGGCCGCAGGCGCAGCCAGTCCATGGCCACCTTGACGGCGGGCAGCGGGAAGGCGGGGCCGGGCTCCCCCGGGGCGGGGCTCTCCAGCGGGCAGCGGCACAGCGTGCCCAGGAAGGACACTGCGGGGGGAGGGCGGTGGGCGGGGGTCCGGGGCTCGCGCCGCCCCGCCCCGCCCCGCCCCGCCCCGCCCCGGCCGGCACTCACTGAACAGGGCCAGCAGCTGCGTCCAGCACAGCTGCTCGTCGGGGCCGTAGCTGTGGGGCTCGGCCTCGCTGCTGAAGTCCCGCAGCTGGTGCAGCTGGAACAGGTTCACTACCGTCACGTGCACCAGCTGCTGCGAGCTGAAGGCCCCCTGCGACAGGAGGCGCTGCGGGGAGGGGCACGCGTGGCAGGGGTGCGGCAGAGCGCAGCCTCGCCCCCGCCTCTGTCCCAGGCCCCGCCTCGCCCCTGCCTGTCCCCAGCCTCGCCCCTGCCTCTGTCCCCAGGCCCTGCCTCGCCCCTGCCTCTGTCCCCAGCCTCGCCCCTGCCTCTGTCCCAGGCCCCGCCTCGCCCCTGCCTGTCCCCAGCCTCGCCCCTGCCTCTGTCCCAGGCCCAGCCTCGCCCCTGCCTGTCCCCAGCCTCGCCCCTGCATGTGTTCCAGGCCCCGGCTTCGCCCCTGCCTTGGCCCCCAGCCCCGCCCCTGCCTCTGTCCCCAGGCCCTGCCTCACCCCTGCCTCTGTCCCCAGCCTCGCCCCTGCCTCTGTCCCAGGCCCAGCCTCGCCCCTGCCTGTCCCCAGCCTCGCCCCTGCATGTGTTCCAGGCCCCGGCTTCGCCCCTGCCTTGGCCCCCAGCCCCGCCCCCGCCTCTGTCCCAGGCCCCCGCCCCGCCTCGCCCCTGCCTCTGTCCCCAGCCTCGCCCCTGCCTCTGTCCCAGGCCCAGCCTCGCCCCTGCCTCTGTCCCCAGCCTCGCCCCTGCATGTGTCCCAGGCCCCAGCTTCGCCCCTGCCTTGGCCCCCAGCCCCGCCCCTGCCTCTGTCCCAGGCCCAGCCTCGCCCCTGCCTCTGTCCCCAGCCTCGCCCCTGCATGTGTCCCAGGCCCCAGCTTCGCCCCTGCCTTGGCCCCCAGCCCCGCCCCTGCCTCTGTCCCCAGGCCCTGCCTCGCCCCTGCCTCTGTCCCCAGCCTCACCCCTGCCTCTGTCCCAGGCCCCAGCTTCACCCCTGCCTTGGCCCCCCAGCCCCGCCCCTGTCTCTGTCCCCAGGCCCTGCCTCACCCCTGCCTCTGTCCCCAGGCCCTGCCTCACCCCTGCCTCTGTCCCCAGCCTCGCCCCTGCATGTGTTCCAGGCACCAGCTTCGCCCCTGCCTTGGCCCCCAGCCCCGCCCCTGCCTCTGTCCCCAGGCCCCGGCCTCGCCCCTGCCCCCGCCCACCTTGAACTGCTCCTCCAGCTTCTCCCGCAGGGGGCCCAGCTTCTCCAGGCTCCTGCCGAGGTACACGTGGCCGTGGAACTTGATGAAGGCCTTGATGAAGTCCGACACGCCCCACTTGGGCTTCGCCTCGTCCCGGCTGCGGGCAGACGCGTGGGTCTGAGCGGTGGGCGGGCCGCGGGCGGCCGCGGGCAAAGCCAAACCCGGGGCTGGGCACTCTCGCGGGCCGGGGGACCGGCCTGCTCCCGCCTCCTCCTCGGGGGACAACCCCGGGCCTAGATGCTGAGACGCGCGGCCTGCGGGGACGCCCCCCCAATCCACCCCCCCACCACACACACACACACACGCACAGCCGGACCTCTCCAGTGCTTTGGAAAGTGCTTTCTGCAGGTTGGTGGAGGCGGCGGGGAAGGGGAACTTGACGGCGATGCTGCGGCAGTAGTAGAAGATGGTGGTGAGGTGGTCGCCCTTGGACGAGGCCAGGATGGCCAGCTGGTTGTACGGCTGACCTGCGGGCACAGGAGGCCTGGCTCAGCCCGCCCGACGGGGGCTGCCCGGGGCTCCTCCCAGGACCCAGGCAGCTGCACGGCTGAGCCCTCACTGGCCTCCCCGGACGGCCGAAGGGCCTCCTGGCCAGCGGCCGCGGCAGAGCCTGTTCTAGAACGTTCTACGGAGTCTTCCTGACCACGGGGCGCTGGCCGTTCTGCGGACTCACCATTGGAGGGGACGAGCTGGGCCGCGTGCCGGTAGTAAGACTCGGCCTGGCTGGTTTGGTTCCTGTAGCGAGCTGGGGGTGAAGAGAGCGCGTCAGAGAGCGGATGGACAGATGGACGGACGGATGGACACACTGCTCGTCTATGGGGGACACTGACCGTCCCTGGAGACCCGCAGAGGCAAGACACAGCCTCTCAGCGAGCGACTCTCGGCCCGTGTGTAAGGCTGGTCCGGTGGCCGCCTAGAGGTCCCCCACGGTCCGGCCTCGCCAGCCCCCGCTAAGGGCCGTGCTGGAGACCAGGCACGTCGCACCATAAAAAAAGGGGCGGAGCGACAGGATGGCGGGGAGGGCGTTGGCCCTGCCCGCAGCCGGCCCGGGTTCAATCCCCGCACCCCCTAGGGTCCCGAGCACCCTCGGGAGTGATCCCTGAGTGTAGAGCCAGGGGTCAGCTCTGAGCATCGCTGGGTGGGTGACCCAGATGCCAAAAAGTAAACAGATTGAAAAATGGGTTCGCGTTCCCAGAAAAGAAAAAGTATCTGCGAAAGAAACATCCACTGATCCAGAAGAAGGAAACAGTCCAAGCGCGAGCTTTGCGTGCCCGACGCATGGCTTCGGAAGGAGCAGGCCAGAAGCCCCCTCTTCCCCAGACCCCTTTCCCCTTGCCTTCTCCCGAGTCTGGAGGCAGTTCTAGCCCTCACATCCTACAGTTCCAGACAACCCCCCCAACCGAATCCTGCAGTTCCCACCCCACGTCCTGCAGTTCCCGCCCCACATCCTGCAGTTTCCTCCCCAGCCAAAACCTGCAGTCCCCCCCAACCAAATCCTGCAGTTCCTGCCCCACATCCTGCAGTTCCCCCCCAGCCGAATCCTGCAGTTCCCACCCGACATCCTGCAGTTTCCTCCCCAGCCAAAACCTGCAGTTCCTGCCCCACATCCTGCAGTTCCCCCCCTCAGCCAAATCCTGCAGTTCCCGCCCCACATCCTGCAGTTTCCTCTCCAGCCAAAACGTGCAAGTTCCCCTCCCAGCCGAATCCTGCAGTTCCTGTCCCACATCCTGCAGTTCCCGCCCCGGGCAACAGTCTCAAGGCGCCCTGCAGTGCATCTGGACATCCGGACTGGGGGGCTCCTCCCACCACAGCTCACCGATGTCCCCCAAGTGGACGAGGCAGTGCTGGCAGATGTAGGAGCAGGAGCTGGACTGGGGCTGGACGATGCTGCTGGGGTGCGCCTGCTTCTTGCTGAGGATGCCGAGCTGGGCCGACTTCACGCGGCACGGCAGGTCCACGTTGAACACGGTGCACAGCTCCTGCAGCAGCTGCGGGGGGGGCCAGAGTGAGGGTTCGAGCCCCCGGGGTGGCGGGAAGAGCACTGGCCTCCTTCCCGGGAGGGGGAGGGCGGCGGCGCCCGGGAATCCACCCCGTTCCCGTGATGGCCGGCCCGGCCCCGGGGGGACGCACGGGGTCCACCGGGAGTCCATCCGCCGGTCAGACTTGCTTTCTGTCCCATCACTGACTTTACTGAAAGGGGAAACTGAGTCACTGCCCACCCGTTCTCGAGGCCTATGGGCAGAGGGAGCTGCTGGCCCCCCCGGGACCCCTGCCCACCGCCTGGGCTGAGGACGGCGAGACCAAGGGCCCCTTCCCCGCTGGCCCGAGGTTCTCCTGCTCACCCCCTCTCTGCTGCACCCCTGCACGCCCTAACAGGAAAATGTGGGCCCCGAAAGCAGCCACAAATAAGCGATGGACACAGGGTTGGGGACAGGAGGGGGCCGAGAGGGTCGACGCCCCGAGCGAGGGACAAGGCGCCCACATGCCCGAGGAGCAAGCGCGAAACACAGGGACACGCCCGTCTCCGGGCGAAGAGAGGGCATGGGCGTGTCATGGTGCAGCTGAGGGACAGACGTGGCCACCCCGGGCCAGCAGCTGAGCCGCGCAGGCAGGGCGCACGTCCACACGAGGGACGGGTGTGGGAGTGGCCGCGACAGGAAGGAACACGGGAGAGGAAGCACGGGCCGGGGAGGGGCAGGGAGTGCTCAGACGGGGTCTCCGCAGAATGCCCGGGACGGTGGTGGTCGCCACCTGGGACGCTCACGATGGCCACTGCCCGCGACCCCACGACGCGTGGTGCAGAAAGACGCCAGAAACATTCTTGGTGGCTCCTGGGCCGGGAGGAGCACCCCTCCGTTGAAGGGGAGCACCTGATTAATGGGGAGTATTCCTGGACTCGAGGGGAGCACTCCTATACTCGAGGGGAGGACCTAGATTCGGGGGAGCACCTGATTAATGGGGAGTAGTCCTGGATTCTAGGGCCACCTCCCCCCTACTCCCACATGTCTCCTGCCCCTGACTGAACCCTGCCACTCACCCGTCAGGGGCCGTCCGGGTCTGCCCCCCATTCCCCGGCCAGGCCTTTTCCTCCTGGCCAGTTCCCATTCCTGCAGCCCTCGAGTCACGGCTGGACCCCGAAGCCAGGCGTGAGTGTTTGGAAAGACCTCGGGGAGAGCAGTCCGGACACCCCTGCCTGCCCGCCCCCCGCTGCGCCCCTGCCGCGCTTACCTGCGTGTAGAAGCCGCTGGCCGCCTCGAGGAACAGGGAGAGGTTGGCCTGGACCTCACTGCGGTTGGGGTTCGCCCGGTTCTTGGCCTGGCCCTGCAGGGTCGTGATCTGGTTCTTGAAGGCGTGATTCCAGCTGTGGAGAGACGGCGGGAGCGTGACTACCCAACAGCCCGCTCGGAGTCGGGGAGACCCGCAGTGGCACCGGCACTGACCCAGCAGGAGCGAGCTGCATGCAGGCACTGGGGCACGGCCCCAACCACCCGACCTGGGTTGGATCCCTGGCATCCCAGGAGGGTCCCCTGAGCACCACAAGGAGTGATTCCTGTGTGCAGAGCCAGGAGTCAGCCCTGAGCATCGCCGGGTGGGACCCAAAAAGTGAACAAGGATAAAGCTCCCAACCTCAAGCTTTATTTTCTATTTTGTACAGGGGAGGATTACTATGATAAATAGTTTGACCTGGGGCTGGAGCGATAGCACAGCGGGTAGGGCGTTTGCCTGGCACGCGGTTGACCCGGGTTCGATTCCCAGCATCCCATAGGATCCCCTGAGCACCGCCAGGAGTAATTCCTGAGTGCAGAGCCAGGAGTATCCTCTGTGCATTGCCAGGTGTGACCCCCCCCAAAAAAAGTTTGATCTGCTAGATTTCTCGGGGAAATACAATCAAAAGAAAAGTTACTGAGGGACCAGAGTGATTGATAGCACAGCAGGGAGGGCATCTGCCTTGCATGCGGCCGACCCGGGTTCGATCCCCGACATCCCATAGGGTCCCCTGAGCCCCACCAGGAGTGATTCCTGAGTGCAGAGCCGGGAGTCAGCCCTGAGCATCGCCGGGTGGGACCCAAAAGGCAAAAAAATAAATCAATGATCCACAGGGTATGGATCATCCAGCATTTCTGGTTGGGCCACACCCCGTCTCTGCGCCCAGGCTCACTCCTGGCGGGGCCCAGGGGCCCATACGGGGTGCCAAAGGTCAAACGCAGGCAGGCCAGTCCCGTGCGAGGCAAACGCCTTCCCCACACCCGGCCCCATATCGCCTATTCACCCACTGTCAAGCCTCTGACCCAAATTCGGGGTCTGCGTCGACCCCCTAGACTAGTCAGTGACTGAGAAAGGGTGGGAGACGAGAAAAGGAATCTTCAGGGGCCTCAGGGTGAGGCACGTTCAGCAGGATAGTTCTTTTCTGTGTCTTTCGTTTTGGGGTCGTGCCCAGCAGTGCTCAGGGTCACTCCTGGTGGGCAGAGGGGGCCACGTGGAGTGCCAGGGATCGAACCCAGGCCGGCCTCATGTAAGGTGACGCCCAGCCCACTGATGACTTTCAACATTTTTCCTCGGGATAACAATCATGCTCCGACTGATAAAAGGTCACGTTCACGATCACGGTCCTCCCGTTATTCATCGATTTGCTCGAGCGGGCCCAGGAACTGGTTGTTATGTCATGAGACTGGTTGTTGCTGTGTTTGGCATATTGAATCCGTCACGGGGAGCTTGCCAGGCTTTGCCGTGCGGGCGAGATACTCTTGGTAGCTTGCCGGGCTCTCTGAGAGGGGCCGAGGAATCGAGCCCGACTTGGCCAGGCCGGCTGTACACAAGACAAACGCCCTACCTCTGTGCTATCTATACCGTAATTTATTTCCTCACCTGGGAACCTGGTCATCCGCCATTTGTCCCTGACCACATACAAAGACTTAAGCGGGCTCGCCTAAAAACCTTCCCGTAGGGGCCGGAGCGACAGCACAGCGGGGAGGGCATCTGCCTTGCACGCAGCCAACATGGCCGATCCGGGTTCGATTCCCAACAGCCCATATGGTCCCCCGAGCACCGCCAGGAGCAATTCCTGAGTGCATGAGCCAGGAGGAACCCCTGAGCATCGCCGGGCGTGACCCAAAAAGCAAAAAAAAAGAAAAAAATACTACTAATAAAATAATAATAATATTTACTCCTGGGGATCCAGGAGTATTTAGTATTTACTTGACTCAAGCCTCAGTGGCCCCGAGTTCCTAGCACTCCAAGAGCAGGGTCCCGACGGAGGGACTGGCTGGACCCAGGGCAAGCTGTGAGCTACCCAGGGAACAGAGGGGACGGGCTAAGTGCCAGAAGAGGCCGCTACTCACAGGTCCTGCTCCACCTTCTTGTCCAAGGCGTACTCCAGGTCGGTGACCAGCATCTTCTGGTACAGGTCCTGCAGCGCCTGCCGGGACGTCCAGACCTCGGCTGGACCCAGCTTCGAATCTGCGCCAGGAAGCACAAGACCCCGCTGTGAGCGCTCAGCACGGTGTGGCAGGGGACTGGGGGGCAGCTCGCAGCTCAGGGGGCCACGCGGGGTCCTGCCAGATGCAGGGGGCTGTGGGCACCCGTCCCTCCCGGGCCCTCACTCCTGGGGGCTGCCAGACCTGCCCAGGCTGCCCGCTCCCCTCCGGGTCCTGCTCTCAGTTTCCCGCCACCGGGGTGGCCCCCATACTGACCCCTGGGGCTGGGGACTCGAACCAGAGCCAGTCAGGGTCACTGTCCTCGCCGCCACACTCTCTCTCTGCCCCCTCATTAGGTCGCCAGTGACTACCAGGACTGACTGGGTCGCCGGGACTGACCCTGCCTGGCCCCACCCGGGAACAGGAAACTGCCCTGGGACCAGCATTAGTGGCTAAGTCCCCCCGGAAGTTCAGCCCGGCTGGGCGATGGCACCAAGGGCCACATAGTGCTGGGCTCAGCAGGAGGGACCACGGAATCCACCCCGGGCATCCCATGGTCACTGGGGCACCCTCCATAGCCAGGCGGGACCTCAAAGCTAAAGTAGGGGCTGGAGCGAGAGCGTAGCGGGGAGGGCCTGGCACGCGACCAACCCAGGTTCGATGCCCGGCATCCCCTAGGGTCCCTCGAGCACTGCCAGGAGTGATTCCTGAGTGCAGAGCCAGGAGTCAGCCCTGAGCACCGCCGGGTGGGACCCAAAAAGAAGGAAAAAAAAAAAAAAGAACAGGGCACGGGGACAGTGGAGGGGGCGTTTGCCGGCACGTGGCCACCTGGGTTCAGGCCAATCAATCCCCCGCATCCCCGTCGGGAGTCAGCCGGGGCCCAAAATGAAACCAAAATCAAAACCAAAAACAGAGAAACAGGAAGTCAGAGGCTGTGGCATCGGGCTCGGCTCCGTCGGCCCCAGGGCAGCCGCGTGTGACATGGTCAGAGGGTGGGTGGGGACAAGTGCCAGAGAGCGTGGCCTGGGGTGCTCTCGGCTCCCAGGAGGAGTTTCAGGCCCCCACCAGCAGCTCCTGAGGGCAAGAAGTCCAAGGCCCAGGCAGTGTCCTGGGGGCTGGATCCCAGATGGTTCCCACCATCACTTGCTCGGCCCTGGGCTGCACTGCTGAGCGAAACGCAGTGACTTGGCACAGAATCCACCCCCCCCACCCCTAGGGAAAGACACTGGCCTGGCATTCGGCCAACCCGGGTTCGATCCCCGGCATCTCATAGGGTCCCCTGAACACCGCCAGGAGTAATTCCTGAGTGCAGAACCAGGAGTCAGTCCTGAGCATCGCCGGGTGGGACCCCAAAAAAGCCAAAAAAAAAAAAAAAAAAAAAAGATTCATGACTGAATTGCTGAGTGAGGTCACACTCAAATAATTCAGGCAAGTCAAGGCTGTAGAAGGGGGGGGGGGGTGAGGGCCTGGGGGCGATTCTTGGTCCCCGAGGCCCACACACCGCGGGGTCTGGGGGTCATCCAGGACGAGGCGCCGTGGCCGCCAGGACTGGGGACCAAGTCGGCACACCCGGACTGAACCCCGTTCTCTCCTCCGGCGCTCTAGAAAGTTCCCACCAGCCCCCCGGGAGGGCGGCACTTGCAGCCTGACGCAGGGGTGGGCTCTGGGCAGTGTGTGGCAGCGCGTACCTGTCATGTCCGCCTTCAGGACTTCTGCCTGTCTGGAGGGGAGAGAACAGCAGGCGTCAGAGGCGGGCAGACCCACGCGTCCCCGGGCTCTGTCCCTCCCGGGGTCACGGTCCCGGCACCCACCACCCTCCCTAACAGACCCTCAGAGTCCCCCCCAGCATCATTCCAGAACATTCCTCCCCCGAGGGCACGCTCTGACTGACCATGTGGACCCGTCCCTCTCCCATCCCTCTCCCCTGGGGGGCATCTAATCGAGCCCCAGGCCGGGAGCCCCGAAGCCACATACCCACATTCGAGGGTTCGAAGGTTAGCCTGCAGCCCCCCCACCCAACTGCACCCCCGTCCCCAACTCCCCAGAAAAACGCCAGCACCCCGGACTGCGATGAAGTCAGGTGCTCAGAGCAGGCAGCAGGAAGCACGCGTGGGGCCCCTGGCTGTGCCCGGACCACACCGAGACTCACACAGTGACACACTGGGGATCCGCCCACAAGCTGGGACCCAACGCTCTGCGGGCGGACGGCCCTCTGGTTCCACGCACGGACGTGGCCCTTCCCGGTCCCCGAGTCTACGATATTCCGTTCCCGCTTTTGGGGGGGCTGAGGATGCAACAGTCACCGCAGAGGGGCCGAGGGCGAGGCCAGCGGGTCAGGGGCGGGACTTTCTGCTCTGGGCCCTGGACAGCACCAGCGTGAGGCCCTCTGCTAGGCTCTCCTGGACCAATTTTTGTAACCAACCCTTGGGGCTGGGACAGAGCTAAACCCCCGCTTCACGTATGAATGCAGTTTAGATTGTGGGTCACAAGCCCCACAGCACATCAGAAAACTGAAGACAGAGAAAGAGAGAGAGAGAGAGAGAGAGAGAGAGAGAGAGTGTGTGTGTGTGTGTGTGTTCAAAAGCACCTGGTGATGGAAACAAGTTTGCAAACGTGCAAGGACTAAAGATGAAACCTCAAAGTTCGCAACGAATCCGAACTGCATCAAATCCATCAAGAAGATTCTGCAGAGCTGGAGTGATAGCACGGCGGGAAGGACGTTGGCTTGGCACGTGGCCATCCCAGGTTCGATCCCCGGCATCCCCTAGGGTCCTCCGAGCACCAGCCAGGAGTGATCCCTGAGCGCAGAGCTGGGAGTCAGCCCTGAGCATCACCGGGTGGGACCCAAAAGGTGGGGGGAAAAAAGAGAGACAGAGACAGAGAGGAGGGAGCGTGTCCGCCGCCAGGCTGGGCACCAGGAGATCTATACCCACTCCCGGCCGGGACGCAGGGGGTGGGGAGAATGTCTCTGTGGGCACATTCCACTCGGGAATTCCACTTGGGGCTGGGGTGGAATTCCTCCGACTTCCCACGCCCACCCCTGTCTCTCTTAACCCAACGGAGAGACTGTCCTCTTTCCCTGGGGAGACCGGGACACTTGGGGGACACGGCAGAGGACACAGGATGGACACCGAGACGGTGATGGGAGACAGGACGGAAGCAGAAGTTGGGAAGGTCAGGGAGAAACGGGGGCGGGCACCAGAGTCCCGCTGACGGTGAGGCCCGCCCCTAGCCCCCCAAGCCACGTGCGGCAGAAGGCAGGAGGGCCCAGCGGAGAGATGGGGGACGGTCAGGGCCTCCCCAAGGCCGAGGGAGGACGGGAGGAAAAAGCAGGTGGCACCTGGCTCGCGGCCAGCCTGGGTTCGAGCCCCGGCACCCCACAGGAGGGATCCCCGAGCGGGTGTGGCCCCCCGAGTCCGGAGCACAGAGGACTGAGCCCGCACAGCTCTGGGCGCCCCGAAACTCCTCCCTAGGGGCGTCCCAGGAGGGAGCCGGGCCGCAGGACCCAACACCATCCCTGACGCCCGGAACCCCACGGTCCCCGCGAAGCCCCGTTCCCAAGCCACCGGCCACCAGGCAGGGCCCCGCCCAACACACAGCTGGACGGTTGGTTCAGTCCCTGGGACCCCGGAGGCCACCAGGAGGGAGCCGGGGGTGGGCTAGGAGCCCCCACAGAAAACAGACGCGTCATCAGCCAACGAGCAACGAGCCCTGCTCCTTCAGAGGGACCCACAGCGACGGGGAACGGCTGGTCCAGCGTGTTAAGAGTAAACACGTAAACCGGAGAGACGGGAGGAGAGAGAGAGGGACAGAGGGACAGAGGGACACAGAGAGAGAGAGAGAGAGAGAGAGAGAGAGCGAGAGGGAGGAAAAACGCCTGCCACAGAGGCTGATGGGAGGACCCCGGTGCTGGGCACAGTGCCCTGGGGGAGGGCGGGTGCTGGAACCCTGCCGGACTGACACCTGACCATCCACGAGCAGCTCTGTCAGGGTCCGTCTCACAGTGACGCAATCCAAAAAGCCAAAAAAAAAAAAAAAAAAGAATCTTTCAAAGAAAAACTGCAAGTCTGAAAGGAACTGCAGAGAGGAAGGAGGCGGGTGGGGAGCAGGTACCGAGACTGACCCGGGAGGCGGGACATCATCACCCCGCGGGGTTCCAGGCCAGCAGGCGGAGAGGCAGGAGGGACACAGGATGCAGGCATGGGTGGCAGCAGAGGGACCAGCAGAGGGACGGGCAGTCGCCAAGACGCGGAAGGGCTCTGCGGGAGGGAGCCTGGCCTGGACAGCAGGGACGGGGCCAGAGCACAGTGGGGAGGGCGTCTGCCTGGCACGCGGCTGACCCGGGTTCGATCTCCGGCATCCCCCGAGCACCACCAGGAGTGATTCCTGAGTGCAGAGCCGGGAGTCGGCCCTGAGCATCGCCGGGTGGGACCCAAAGCAAGAGGCCAGTTCCAGCTCAGCCCGAGCCTGCCTCTGCCCTGAAGCACTGACCACTGACCGTCCACTCCTGAGGCCTCAGCCCAGGCCGGGGAGTGAGTGAGGAAACGGGCACTTTCGGCACACAGACGCGAGCTTGGGTCGCAGGGCAGAAGCGAAACTGGGGCCCCAAGGAGGCTGGGCAGCACCGCGGCCATCCCCGCTGCCGACTCAGCCCAGGTCCACACTCCGTCCCTGCTCCACGCTCGGCCCAGGCCCCTCCTGGCAGGGGTGGAGGGGGGCGAGCCCTAAGCCCCCGCCTCAGGGTCCTGTAGAGCTGGGCAGAGCCCAATCTAGGCACCGCCTCTTGGCGCCAACCCCACCTGACTGGGAAGGGGCACGGCCAGCAGTGCTCGGGCCGACTCCTGACTCTCCCGGCAGTGCTGGGGTGGAACTGGGGTCCCCATGCGTGACGCAAACACCTTACCCCCCCAACTATCTCCAGCCCCCGTCTGCCGCCAGACAGTGCTCAGCGTCCCTCAGGCAGGGCCCGGGGGGACCCCAAGGCGCTGGACTGTCGCTCGGCCCCTTCGGCCTGAATGTGAAGCGACCGGCCTCCAACTCCCCCTGACACAAGACTTGGCCAGCATGAACTGAAACGCCCAGGACGCGTGACCCCGAGGCCCCCGACAGACAGGTCAAAGCTCGGGCCCCGACTCCCAAGGGACCCGCCTGGCGGAGGCGGCAGGGGACAGTGTCCTCAACGAGGACACAGCGCCAGCCACGACTGATCTCCCACCGCCAGGAAGAGCGTGGGCTGCCCCAGGAGCATGGGACCCCCAAGAAGCCCCCACCTTGCTGACCCCCTGAGCACATCCGTCGAGGGGTTGGCAGAGATGGTGCAGGGGGGTGGGGAACGGGGCTGGCCGTGCACGCAGCTGGCCTGGGCTCGACCAGAGTAAGGTCTGAGCACTGTCAGGAGAGCCTCCCCGAGAGCCCAGCGGGGAGGGCGCTTACCTTGCATGCGCCTGGACGGGGTTCGATCCCCGGCACCCCGTACGGTCCCCTGAGCCTGCCAGGAGTGATCCCTGAGCGCTGGGCCTGAGCACGGCCAACACGGAAAACAAAAGACAGACAGACAGCTCGGGAAACAGGCGGGGTCCAGGTCTGACCACAGCCCACCGCCGACAGAGCACTAGAGTGAGAGCACCGTGGGGAGGGCAATGGCCTGGCACACAGCCGACCCGGGTTCGATCCCCGGCATCATCCCAGAGGGTCCCCCGAGCACCGCCAGGAGTGATCCCTGAGCGCAGAGCCAGGAGTCAGCCCTGAGCATCGCCAGGTGGGACCCAAAAACAAAAATATGAATAAAAATCCAACCAAAACAGGGCTGGGGAGATGGGATGGGGTGAAGGCGTTGCCTCACACGTGGGTGGACCCTGGTTCAACCCCGGCACCACACAGGGTCCCCAGGGCCCCGCCAGGAGTGACCCTCAATCAAACCCCAAATAAAACTCCACAACACAGGGCCGGAGCGATAGCACCGTGGGGAGGGCGTTGGCCTTGCACACAGACGACCCGGGTTCGATCCCCGGCATCCCCTAGGGTCCCCCGAGCACCGCCAGGAGTGATCCCTGAGTGCAGAGCTGGGAGGCAGCCCTGAGCATCGCCGGGTGGGACCCAAGTAGCCCATAAAAACCCCACGAGACCACCAACTCGACAATACAAAGTAAAACAGGCCGGGACCACGCCGCTTGCTCTGCCGTGAGGGGTTTGGGGGGACAGACGCGATCACAGGACATGGTGAGGAACAAATCTCAATCTGACACGCACCCTATGGTGGGCAGAGACTCGGGCCGTGGCGGGAAGGTGGGGGGGCCCCACCAGGCAGTCCAAGGCCGGCGCCAAGTCACCTCGCTCTTGGCCGTCCTGGGACCCAAGTCGTCTGACCCTCCCGACAGGAGGGGGCAAGACTGAGTCTCAGGGCGCGCCAGGGGTCTCCGGACCCCAGCCCCAAGCTCAGATGCGCCCAGATGCGGCAGCCCCACTCCTCGGGGACCCCTCCCTGTCCGGCCTCATCCCTGCAGGCTCAGGCACGCCCTGGATACCACGTGAGTCCAGCCACCCGGAGTGAGTCTCTGACAAGGCTCCCGGCCCGGCACCCTTCAAAGACTGACCCTGTCCCCGTAAAGACCCCAGCTGGGGGGCCGGAGCGATAGCCCAGCGGGGAGGGCGTCAGCCTGGCACGCGGCCGACCCGGGTTCGATCCCCGGCATCCCCTAGGGTCCCCCGAGCACCGCCAGGAGTGATCCCTGAGTGCAGAGCCGGGAGTCAGCCCTGAGCACCACCGGGTGGGACCCAAAAAAGGAAACAACAAAACAAAACAAAAACCCACCCAGCTGGGAAAGGACACCAAGCAGGGAGCACCCCAGAAGGTTTGGAGCCCTGGCAGCCCCGCGGCTCCCCGAGGCCCGTCAGGTGTGCTCTCTGAGCACAGAGCCGGGAGGGAAAGGCCCCAAACAAACGTTCCTCAAAAGAGAAAGCGAGAGCGAGAGAGAGCAGCGGGGTGACAGGGACCCAACGGGGCTGCCCGCGGCAACGTTTTCTTTCTCCTTCCTCTCCCGCTTCTCGCGGGTCCAACTTCAACCCGACTCCCGAACGCCGGGACCCAGCCCATCCGTGCCCCCCGCCCCCACAAACCAGGGGATTCTAGAAGCCACAAGAGGGCAGAGGTCAGGGTCTCGGGGAGGTACGGCACTGGGCGCCATCAAGGTCTGCAGTCAGCACCCTGGTCGGCCAGTGACCAAGCTACAGCACCGCCGACGTCGTGTCCAGGACGGACACACGGAGTCGAGGAGACCCTTCTCCGCCGCCGGACCCCCGCCTCCCACCCCCTCCCTCCATCCTGCTGCTCAGTTCACTTGGGGACACCCCCCTCCCGGGCAGGGCCCAGGGGCCACGGGCTGCCCAGCGGACTCCAAGGCACCAAACGGGACGCCGCAGACCTCCCCCGGCTTCAGGGGCAGGACCCCCCCAGCCCACTTCCCCAGGAGCCCTCACTCAGCCACAAGGGAACCCACCCACGTCCCCGCCGCCAGGGCAGAGCGAGGCCGCAGGAAACGCGCCCTGTCACCGCCGGCCACCCACCGTGGCTGGGCCTGAGAGTCTCGCGGCATCACCCAGAGTGACCACACGGACCCGGGGACCAGCCAGCATCCTCCGAGCTGTCTGTGAAAGCCCCCGATGCAGAGAGACAGAGACAGAGGGAGAGAGACACAGAGAAAGAGAGAGAGGGAGGGAGGGAGGGAGAGACGGAGAAGAAGGGGGAGAGGGGGACAGAGACAGAGAGGCAGAGAGCGAGATCTCTCGAGTGCGCCGCCTCCCCACAGCCCACCTGGGTGGGCCCCCCTGGGCTGGTCCCCACTCCTCCCTCCCCTGCCCAGCCAAGTGGCCTCAGAGTCACCGGGTCCCCGCACCCGAGCTCTGAGCCCGCGGACAGAGGACAAGACGGGGCCGTCCGTGGACAGTGTCGTATCCCCCCCGCCACCCCCGGCGCACACACAGACCCAGGCTGCATCCCCCACGCCCACAAGGACCGCACCTGACAGCAGGTGCCACCCGGGCACCTCGGACCCGGGCGGGACTCCAGGGCCACTCAGCAGTCTGGCCGAGATGCTCCTGGGTGTCCACTCACCCCTGGCCGGGTCCCACCTCCCCGGACGGTCATGGGCGCTGCTCTGCCGGCCACCAAGCTGCCACCTCCTGGTCCCTGCCCTCGGAGTGCCCCCTGTCCCCCGGCCGCAGCTGCTGCCCGGGGTTCTCTGGGGGCCCAGGGCCTGCAAGCCCCCACGGTCAGCAGTCACGGCCCGGGCCAGCCTCTGCCTGGTTCGCGGGTGTCCAGAGCCCACTGGCACCCACTGCGACCTTGAGCACAGGTACAGGCCACACCCCCCTCACTGGGCGCCAGGACTCTGGGGGTCTCCTCCCGCAGCCGGGCACGTGCCTGCACCCCCACCTGGGCAATGCCTGCAGGAGGGGGACGCACTCGCGCCCTCTGCGAAGGTGAGGGACCCCCGCGTGCAGCAGGAGAGGGTCGGGGGCGCACGACCCCGCCTCCAAGGCCTGCAGGGACCCCCACATGCAGAAGAGGGTCTGGGGGCGCACGACCCTCGCCTCTGAGACCCGCAGGGACCCCGCGTGCACCAGGAGAGGGTCGGGGGCGCACGACCCTCGCCTCCGAGACCCGCAGGGACCCCGCGTGCACCAGGAGAGGGTCTGGGGGCGCACGACCCCCGCCTCCGAGACCCGCAGGGACCCCGCGTGCTGCATAGGGGTCTGGGGGCGCACGGCCCCCGCCTCCGAGACCCGCAGGGACCCCCGCGTGCTGCATAGGGGTCTGGGGGCGCACGACCCCCGCCTCCGAGACCCGCAGGGAACCCCGCGTGCTGCATAGGGGTCTGGGGGCGCACGACCCCCGCCTCCGAGACCCGCAGGGACCCCCGCGTGCACCTCGAGAGGGGTCCGGGGGCGCACGACCCCCACCCCCGCGGCCTGCAGGGCGCCCCACGTGCAGCGCGGGGGCCTGGGGTCGCGCGCCCCCCGCCCCCGGCCGCCGCCCCCAGGGCGCCCCGCGCGCAGCAGGAGGGTCCGGGGCCCCCGCGCCCCCCGCCCCGCGCCCCCCGCCCCGCGCGCGCCCCCCGCCCGGCTCACCGCAGGCTCTGCGCGCCCCGCAGGCTCATCGCCGCGCGCCCCGCGAGGCCGGCGGGTCCGTCAGGCTCCCGGGCCGGGGGGCGCCATGCGGGGGGCGCGGGGGGCGCTCGGCGGCGGCTCCGGCCCGCGGGGCGCAGGGACGCGCCGACCGGGAGGGGCGGGGGGCGGGGGACGGCGCCGGGCGCCGCGGAGGACGGAAGTGGGCGCCGCTCTCGCGAGACTTCCGCGCCGCGCGCGCGCGCCACTTCCGGCCCGCGGGGCCCCGGCCGGGCGGGCTGGGGGGGCCCCGACGGCCGGCGCGTCCCCGGCGGCCCGGCCCGGGCGGCGTCCGGCCGCGCCGCCCGCGCGGTCCCCCCGCGGGGCCCCCCACGGCCCCGCCGCCCCCCGCGCCCCGGCGCCGCGTCCGCCGCGCGCGCGTCCCCCCCGGAAACGCCGCCCCGCGCGCCGCGTTCCGGCCCGGGACGCCCCGCCCGCCGCGCCGCGACCCCCGGCGGGCCCCCGGGCGGGCGGGCGCGCGGCTGCCATGGCGACGCCGGCGGGGTCGCGTTGCCCTGGTGACCGGCGGGGCCCCCCCCCCCGGTCTTCCCCGCCCGCGACCCCCGGAGCCGCCCCGGCCCGTCCGCGCGCGCAGCCCCGCGGGTCTGGGGGCTGCGCGACCCCCGGGCCCTGGAACCTTCGCGAACCCGGGCGGCGCCGCGTTCCCCGCGGACGTTCCTCCCCGGGACGAACGGGCGGGGGTCGGGGGCGGGGGCGCGTTGCGGGGTAAGGGGGTTGCATTGGGGGGCCGGGGGGCTGCGCTGGGGGTCAGGGGGCGCGCTGCGGAGTCGGGGGGCGGGCTTGGAGGGTCGGAGGCGTTTTGGGGGGTTGGGGGCGTGCTGGGACGATCTAGGGGGTCGGGGGGCGATCTAGGGAGTCGGGGGGCGCGCTGGGGCGATCTAGAGGGTCGGGAAGCGATCTCGGGGGTCGGGGGGCGATCTAGGGGGTCGGGGGGCGATCTAGGGGGTCGAGGGGCGATCTAGGGGGTCGGGGGGCGATCTAGGGGGTCGAGGGGCGATCTAGGGGGTCGGGGGGCGATCTAGGGGGTCGAGGGGCGATCTAGGGGGTCGAGGGGCGATCTAGGGGGTCGGGGGGCGATCTAGGGGGTCGGGGGGCGCGCTGGGGCGATCTCGGGGGTCCGGAGGCGATCTCGGGGGTCGGGGGGCGATCTAGGGGGTCGGGGGGCGCGCTGGGGCGATCTCGGGGGTCCGGAGGCGATCTCGGGGGTCGGGGGGCGCGCGGGTCCCCCCCAGGCTGCCCGGGGAGGGGGCGCGCGCGGTTTTGCATTTTTGCATTCTGGGGAGGGGTCGCGGGCGGAGGGTCCGGCAGCCCGGGGGTGCCGGCGGGGGCGGGTGGGTGGGGGGTTCGGGTTCGGTCCGGCTCGGCGCCCCTCCCCCCCGCGGCCCCGCGTGCCTGGACCCCGCGGGGGCACCTGGTGTGTGCGGAGGCCATGCGGGTCCGGCGGCGGGCGCGGGCCGGGCCGGGCAGCCCCCCGGCCAGTGTGATGCGGCGTGACGCCCCCCGCGCTCCCGCTGCGGCACAAAGCGACCCCCGCCCGCCCGCCCGGCCCGCGCGCGCCCCCAGCGGCGGCCGCGCGCCCTGCAGCCGGGCCGGCCCCTCCGCGCTCCCGCCGCGCGCTCCGGGTCCGCCCAAGGCTGCGGCCAGGTCCGGCCCGAGTGGGCCTGGCGCGCGCGCGGGCATCCTCGGCATCCCCTGAGCATCCCCGGGGTGGTCCTGAGGCAGGACGAGCCCGAGGCGCCTCCTGGGGGGTGAAGATTTAACCGGAACCGAACACTCAAGTGGCAGGGCACTTGCTGACAGCCACCTGGGGCTCCATCCCTCCTGCCTTGCATGGTCCCCAGTCACAGCCGGGAGTCAGCCCTGAGCACAGAACGAGGAGTCATTCCTGAGCACAGAGCCGGGAGTCAGCCCTGAGCACAGAGCCGGGAGTCAGTCAGCCCTGAGCACAGAACAGGAGTGAGCCCTGAGCACAGAGCCGAGGGTCAGCCCCGAGCACAGAGCCGGGGGTCAGCCCTAAGCATTGTCAGGTGTCTCCCACCCCCCCACCAAGAAAATAACAACCCATGTTGGGGCCAGAGTGATTATTCAGCGAGGAAAGTGCTTGCCTTGCAGGCAGATGACCTGGGTTTTCCTTTGGCGTCCTCAGCCGGCCAGGAGTGATTCCTGAACACAGAGCTAGGAAACAACCCTGAACCACGTGTGTCCTCCCTCCCAAAACAACAACAACAACATGTTTCTGGAGCAATAGCACAGCAGATAAGGCATTTGCCTTGCACACGGCTGACCCGGGTTCGATCCCCAGCATCCTATGGGTTCGATCCCCCGAGCACCACCAGGAGTGATCCCTGAGTGCAGAGCCAGGAGTCAGCCCAGAGCATCGCCGGGTGGGACCCGAAAAGCAAAAAAATAAAATAAAATGCATTGCACAGGGCTTGAGAGACAGCACAACGGACTCCTAGGCTGACCTAGGTTTGATCCCACAGGGTCCCCCGAGCACCGCCAGGAGTGAATCCTGGGTGCAGAGCCAGGAGTCGGCCCTGAGCATCACCAGGTGGGGCCAAAGAAACAAAAATAAATAAATAAAAGAATCAATAAAGAATATTATCTCCCAATCAAAACTCTGTTTTCTTTGTGTGTGGGGGGGGGAGTGGTTTATAGTTTTTATTTTATTTATTTTTTTAAATTGTTTTGTTTTTGTGTGAGTTCTGTTTTTTTTTTTCCCTTTTGGGTCACACCCGGCGATGCACAGGGGTTACTCCTGGTCTGCACTCAGGAATTATCCCTGGCAGTGCTCAGGGGACTATATGGGATGCTGGGAATCGAACCCGGGTCGGCTGCGTGCAAGGCAAACGCCCTACCTGCTGTGCTATATCCCCAGCCCCTCTGTTTTTAAGGCCAGGAACTACTCCTAGCACTGTGCTCAAGAATCACTCCTGGAAAGTCCCCGGGACTCAGCATTGCAAGATGCTAAGAGCCGGGAGTCAAGCACAGAGCTGGGAGTCAGCCCCGAGGACAGAGCCAGGAGTCAGCCCTGAGCACAGATCTGGAGGGAGCCCCGAGCACAGAGCCAGGAGTCAGCCCTGAGCACTGAGTCGGGGGCAGCAGGGTGGAGTCTCCCTAGAAGTGCAGGAGTCTCAGATCTCCCCCCTCCTCCCACCCCGTCTCACCTTCTCATTTCTCTGGAATGCACCCAGTCAGGAACCTCAAGTCTTTTTTCTTCTTTTCTTCTATTTACAGTTGGGAAAGGGGGCTGGGGCCTGGGGCCTGGCTGGAGGCACATCAGGGAATAGTCCAGCACTGGGCACCCTCGGGAGCTTCCTCTGGGCCAGCCTGGAGGACAGTGTTTGGGGGAGTGCTGGAAGGATCCATGGGGACCTGGTAGTGACCTCGGGCCATCGCCAAGAAGGCTGAGGCTCAGTTGGGGGTTGACTCCTGAGATAGGCAATTCACCCCTCCCGGGAAGAGCCTAAAGGGCTGAGAAAGGCTGTAATTAATTGTGGGGGGCGGGCTCTGTCCCCAGCATAGGACAGCAAGTCAGAGGCCTTCAGGGGTCTCCACGAAGCCAGCAGTTCGGGAAAGAGCTTCCGCTTTGGATGGGAGACCTGGGCGGGACCTGGGGGGTCCCTCCCCCACCCATGGGACACACAGCTCCAGCCTGCGTTTGCAGTAGGGGGCGGGTGGCCTCTGAGGGGACCAGGAGGCCCGAGACCTCTCCAGGAAGATCTGGATCATGAGATAGTCATGCTAGGGTGACGCCCTCCCACCCGGCTGGTTCCCTCATGGTTTCTGGGACCCCCTCGCTCCCCAAGATCTCTCACCCACATACACAGAATCACATGGATTTGGGGCTGGAGCGATAGCACAGCAGGGAGGGTGTTTGCCTTGCACGCAGCCAACCCGGGTTTGATTCCCGGCATCCCATAGGGTCCCCTGAGCACCGCCAGGAAAGATCCCTGAGTGCAAAGCCAAGAGTCAGCCCTGAGCATTGCTGGGAATCGAAACCTAGTCCCTGCTGGGTGTGCTTAAAAACAACAACAACTAGGGGCTGGAGTGATAGCACAGGGTGTTTGCCTTACACAAGGCCAACCCGGGTTCGAATCCCGGCATCCCATATGGTCCCCTGAACACCACCGGGAGTAATTCTGAGTGCAAAGCCAGGAGCAACCCCTGTGCATTGCTGGGTGTGACCCCCCAATAAAAAACAACAACTAAACAAGGATCAAAGCCAGAGAGAGGACAGGGTTTCCCACATGTGCCTTCCGTACTATCCATTCGGGTAGACCCCCAGAACTACACAGGGGTTTCTGGGTCCCACCAGGGGTAAGCCCAGGGCCCAAACCAGAAAGAAAGCGGGTGTGAGGGCTTGAAACTCGTCTTTGTTGGGCTCCAATAAACTCTTTTTTTCTTTTTCTTTTTTTTTTTTGGGTCCTTCCCTGCAATGGCCAGGGCTGACTCCCGGCTCTGCACTCAGGAATCACTCCTGGCGATGCCCCAGGGACCCTATGGGATGTCGGGGATCGAACCAGGGTCAACCACGTGCAAGGCAAATGCCCTCCCCGCTGTGCTATCGCTCCAGCCCCCCCAATAAGCTCTTGAGGGAACGGTCTGGACACCACATCACATGCCAGAGAACCCTGCCTGAACCCCCTTCCTGTTTATTTCCCAAGCCCCTCCCCATAGAACAGACCCCCGCCCACATCCCAATATCTTTTCTCTGTTTCCATCTCTCTTCCCGTTATTCATTCATTTCCTGCCTTTCTCTGATCTCTTCCTCTGCCTTCCACATCTTTCCTACCATGGGGAATGGTTCATTGCCCCCCCCCCGTGTGTGTGTGTGTGTGTGTGTGTGTGTGTGTGTGTGTGTGTGTGTTTTGGAGTCACATCCAGTGATGCTCAGGGCTGACTCCAGGCTCTGCACTCAGGAATCACTCCAGGCGGTGCTCGGGGGACCCTACGGGATGCCGGGGATCGAACCCAGGTTGGCCACATGTTAGGCAGGTGCCTTACTTCAGTGCTGTCACCCTGCCTTCTTATCTTTTTTTTTTTTTTTAATGACTACCTTTAACTTGTCCTTAAGGGGCTGGAGTGATAGTCCAACAGGCAGGGCATTTTTTTGGCACGTGGCTGACCCAGGTTCGATCCCCGGCATCCCACAGGGTTCCCCAAGCACCATCAGGAGTGATTCCTGAGTGCAGAGCCAGGAGTCAGCCCTGAGCATCGCTGGGTGTGGCCCCCAAACAAAAACAGATTGGTTGGATGGGGCTGGAGCGATAGCACAGCAGGGAGGGCATTTGCCTTGCACGCGGCCGACCTGGGTTCAATCCCCGGCATCCCCTAGGGTCCCCCGAGCACTGCCAGGAGTGATCCCTGAGAGCAGAGCCAGGAGTCAGCCCTGAGCATCGCTGGATGGGACCCCCAAAACAAACAAACAGAGAGGAACTGGGCAGAAGGCAGCCTTCACGGTCCCTCAGCCTCTTCATCCTGGTCCGAGGGAAGTCCGGATTCAGCACGGAGGACCGCAGATGCCGTTGCCATGGAAACCATGGGCCGGCAGGAATGTAGAGCAGTGGCTGCCTGGTGAGGTAGCAGATGGGCCGGAAGAGCAGGAGGGCCCCAGGTGACTCGGTTGGCCCGGAGCCATCCCCGCCTCGGGGCGGAGCCAGTGAGTCACGTTCTGGGGGGCCCAGGAGGCTGCAAAGCAGAGACCTGCTGGCCTGGTTTGAGTTTTATTTTTTTTCTTTTTTTCTTTTGTTTTTGTGTCTGTGTTTGGGGGGTCACACCTGAGTGTCCTCGGCGCTCAGGCCTTGCTTGGCCTTGCAGAGGAGTCCTGTAAGGCCCCCCAAGCTCCCGCTAGGAGTGATTCCTGTGTGCAGAGCCAGGAGTCAGCCCTGAGCATTGCTGGTGGGACCCAAATAGCCAAAAAATAAATAAATTAATTAATTAAATAAAAGAGGAAAATAGGAGGTGGGAGCTGGAGCAATAGCACAGCGGGGAGGGCTCTGGCCTGACATGCAGCTGACCTGGGTTCGATCCCGGCATCCCAGAGGGTCCCCCGAGCACCGCCAGGAGTGATCCCTGAGTGCAGAGCCAGGAGTCAGCACTGAGCACAGCCAGGTATACCCAAAAATCAATTAAGAAAAAAAGGACAGGTCAGAGTGATAGTCTAGCAGGGAGGGCGTTTGCTTGGCACCCGGCCGACCCGGGTTCGATCCCCGGCATCCCATAAGGTTCCCTGAGCACCACCAGGAGTGTTTCCTGAGTGCAGAGCCGGGAGTCAGCCCTGAGCATCGCCGGGTGTGGCCCCAAACAAAAAGAAATTGGTTGGTGGTTTCTATGGGTTTTTGCTTTGGCTGACCCCTGGCTCTGCACTCAGGAATGACTCCTGGCGGTGCTTGGGGGACCCTATGGGATGCCGGAGATCGAACCCGGATCGGAAACATGCAAGGCAAGCGCCCTCCCCGCTGGTTTCTCTCGGCAATCCCTGATTTCTATAAGTTTTAAGCATGATCCGGGCGCTCGCGACTAGTGGGATGTCATTGTCTTTACTTATTTATTTATTTATTTTGCTTTTTGGGTCACACCCGGCAATGCTCAGGGGTTCCTCCTGGCTCATGCACTCAGGAATTATTTCTGGCGGTGCGCGGGGGACCCTAAGGGATGCTGGAAATCGAACCCGGGTCGGCCGCGTGCAAGGCAAATGCCCTCCCCACTGTGCTGTCACTCCAACCCCTTTACAAGGTTTTTTTTTTAGATTGAATCATTTAAAATTAATTTAATTTAATTTTTTTTACAAGACGTTTTTTTTTTTTAATTTTTTTGGGTCACACCCGGCTATGTACAGGAGTTACTCCTGGTTGATGCACTCAGGAATCTCTCCTGGCGGTGCTCGGGGGACCCTATGGGATGCTGGGAATCGAACCCGGGTCGGCCACGTGCAAGGCAAACGCCCTACCCGCTGTGCTATTGCTCCAGCCCCTACAAGAAGTTTTTTAACATTCACAATTTATATATAGTTCTTTCAGGCTACGTGTGAGTACTTTAGACTTGAAATACTCAATTTTACGCTTGTTTTTAGCACAAAAGTGGGCATTACAGTTGGGGCAATAATATAGGCCTCCCGAAGGGCTGGAGCGATAGCACAGCAGGGAAGGCGTTGGCCCGGCACGCGGCCGACCCGGGTTCGATCCCCGGCATCTCATAGGGTCCCCCGAGCCCCGCCAGGAGTGATCCCTGAATACAGAGCCACGAGTCAGCCCTGAGCATCGCCGGGTGGGACCCAAAAAGCAAAAAATAAAATAAAATAAAATGAAGGCTGATATTATACAGGTGGAGAACTAATAGCAGCTCAAGAACTTGACCTTCCTGATTTCTATTTTTCTATTTTTTTTTCTGAGCACCCAATGGTGCTTGCTCTGGGTTCCTCCTGGGTGGGGTCAGTTGGGAATGTGCGTGGGGGTTGCAGTCTGGGCTCTGTGCTCAGGAGTCACCATGGGCCGCTGGGGGTGGCCCCATCCTCTCGGCACCATCTCTCCCTCCTCACCCCTGCTCTCTTACCCTGCCAATGTCACCTGAGCCTTAAACTGGAACCCAGAGACTGGAGCAATAGCACAGCGGGTAGGGCATCTGCCTTGCACGCAGCCAACCCGGGTTAGATTCCCAGCATCCCATAGGGTCCCCTGAGCAGCACCAGGAGTGATTCCTGAGTGCAGAGCCAGGAGTCAGCCCTGAGCATCACCGGGTGGGACCCAAAAAGCAATCAATCAATCAATCAATCAATAAAGAGTGATGAACCAGGGACCTGGGCAATAGCACAGCAGGCAGGGCGTTTAAATAAATAAAATAATAATTAAAAAATTAACAAATAAAAACTAAAACACAAGCAGGGGTCAGAGCGATAGCACAGCAAGGAGAGTGTTTGCTTTGCATGTGGCTGACCCAGGTTCGATCCCCAGCATCCCATAGGGTCCCCCGAGCACCGCCAGGAGTGATCCCTGAGTGCAGAGCCGGGAGTCAGCCCTGAGCATCGCCGGGTGTGACACAAAAAGAAAATAAATAAATAAATAAAATAAACTGGAACCCAGGTCCTGTGTGGGGCGCTGGGGTCGGGGGTGGTCCAGGGCCCCTCTCGCCCTGCAACCCACCCCCTCCCAGCAGCGCCCCCCAAATCAAGACCCCCCCCCACCGTTCCAGCGCGCGCCTTTCGGAGTGGAAAGGGAAAAAAAGGCTCCTTCCTTAGGAGCCCGGGGAGAGAAGAGCACTTTTCCTAGAGCCAAGGGGAGCGGGGGGGGGGGGGGGGGAGAAGAGAGAGGCGGATGGAAAACCGAAGGAGGACGGGAGGGATGGACTGTGGGTCCCCCGGGAACCACTGGCCCTGGGGGCGGGGGGGCGCGCGGGCGGGCGCAGGGGTGCAGGGCGAGGCCCGGGGCGCGCGGGGCGGGTCTGGGGACGCGCGGGGCGGAGCTGGGGGGCGCGGGGCGGGCCCGGGGGGCGCGGGGCGGGGCGCGGGCGTTGCCGGAAGCCGGGTGGGAGGCGCCGGGAGCCCGCGGGGCGCGCACAAAGCGGCCGCTGCCCCCGGAGCCGCGCGCGTCCAGGACCGGCGGGTGACGCGCCGGCGCGTGCGGAGCGGCCGGGACCACCCCGCACCGGGAGGCGACCCCGGGGACCCGCCCGCACCATGACCGAGACCACCAAGACGCACGTGATCCTGCTGGCCTGCGGCAGCTTCAACCCCATAACCAAGGGCCACATTCACATGTTTGGTGAGGGCCGCGCGGCGGGGCGTTGGGGACCCCCCTCGGGGTCAGCAGGGGCCGGCCAGGGTCCCCCGGGGGTCAGCAGAGCCGATCAGGGCCCCCTGGGGGTCAGCAAAGCCGGCCAGGCCCCCCCGGGGGTCAGCAGAGCTGGTCAGGGCCCCGCATGGTCAGCAGGGGCCGACAGGGGCCCCGCGCAGGGGGGGGCGCGCGGCGAGCCGGTGCGAGGAGGCCGCGGCGGGACGCGGGCCGGAGCCGCAGAGGTGCCTGGGGCCGGGGGTCCCGTTCCCCGGGACCTTAGGGGGCTTCTGGCCGCGGGTTCGGGGTTCCGCAGGGCCCCGAGTGATGCTCAGACAGAACCCAGAGGCCGCGAACGCGCGCGGCGAGCCGGAACGGGGAGGGACCCGGAGTGGGGGGTGGGGAGGGGACACTGTAATCGGGAAATAAAGGAGATGTTAGGATTGGGGGTGTGCTTTGGGGGGCCCGAACAAGGGGGTCCTGGAGACTAGCCCCAGGGTGGGCCCGTCCTGGAGGGCGCCGCAGCCCGAGGGGGGCCCAGCCCGGCCTGGCCCGGCCCGGCCCGCGGCGCTGTCCGGAGGCCGCGGTGCTGAAACTCAGGCGCCGGCCGCGCAGACGCGCGCGGGGCCCACCCGGGCCGTGGGCAGAGCCACGTCGGCCCCGCGACCCCCGAAGGCGACTTCTCCGGGCTGGGGGTGCAGACGAGGCAGGCCCCTGGGTACCCCCGCGGCGCGCGCCTGCGAAGTCCGTCCCCATCTCTATCCCTCATCCCCATCCCTCATCTGCATCCCTCATCAGCATCCCACCATCCCCATCCCTCATCTCCATCCGCCATCCCCGCCGCGTCTTGGCCACTGCTCAGTGCCCTGTTAGAGGCCAGGCAGGGCCAGCCGGACCTCCGAGGCCCCGAGACAGACCCAGGCTCCAGCCCCCGCTGTCGTCTTCCTCCGTTATCCTCGCAGGGAGGGAAAACGGGAGCCAGAAACGCTGTTTCTGGGTGGTGCCCGGGCCTGGCGCCTCTTCCTAGCGCTGTGCTCAGGGATCACTCCTGGCGGTGCTCCCACGAACAAATGAATGAGCTGCTGGGGGTCGCACCCGGGTCAGCGCGCGTCAGGCAACCGCCACTGTAGTGTTTTTATTCCTTCCGGTTTTCTTTTGGGCCCCACCCGGCGATGCTCAGGGCTGACTCCAGGCTTTGCAACTCAGGGATCACTCCTGGCGGGGCTCGGGGGGACCAGACGGGATGCCGGGGATCGAACCCGGGCCGGCTGCGTGCCAGGCCAATGCCCTCCCCGCTGCACTGTTGCTGCAACAACCCTTGCAACGAACCTTGATTTCATCCCTGTTCCTTGCCTCTCTGTCTGCCTTATGTGGGCCTCTCCCACGCCCAGAAGGGTTCCCTTTGCAACTCCTGGGCGCCAGAAATCGTTTCCGAGGCAAGCAGGCCTCCCCTCCTCCTGCCTGGAGCTCGGAAGGTAGATACGGCAGCTGGTCGGGGTTGCAGGTACGTAGCTCAGATGGAGAAACAGGGTTCCAGATGGAGCGTTTGTGAGAGGTTGGGAGAAAAGTTAGGAGGAAGTAAGGTAGGGGTTTCAGGAGGACACATTTATTTATTTATTATTTTGCTTTTTGGGTCACACCTGGCGATGCACAGGGGTTACTGGCTCTGCACTCAGGAGTTACTCCTGGTGGTGCTCGGGGACCCTATGGGATGTTGGGAATCGAACCCGGGTCGGCCGCGTGCAAGGCAAACGCCCTACCCGCTGGGCTATCTCTCCAGCCTTCAGGAGGACAAATTTAGACGTAGAATAGGTTAATAAAAAAAAGAGGGGGAGAGAGATAGAGAGAGAGGGAGAGAGAGAAGAGAGAGATATTTTGGGGTCCCACCCGGCGATGCTCAGGGCTGATTCCTGGCTCTGCACTCAGGGATCACTCCTGGCAGTGCTCGGGGGACCCTAGGAGATGCTGGGGATCGAACCCGGGTCAGCCGCGTGCAAGGCAAACGCCCTCCTGGCTGTGTTATCAGTCAGGCCCAAGAGAGATTTTTTTTTTGAGAGTACTGACTGTGAGATTGTTGTTGTTTTATTTGTTTGTTTGTTTTGCTTTTTGGGTCACACCTGGCGATGCACAGGGGTTCCTCCTGGCTCTGCACTCAGGAATCACCCCTGGCAGTGCTCAGGGAACCATATGGGATGCTGGGAATTGAACCCAGGTTGGCCACGTGCAAGGCAAATGTCCTACCCGCTGTGCTATCATTCCAGCCCCAGATTGTTTTTGTTAGATGATTTTTTTTTGTTTCGGGGCCACCCAGCAGTGCTTAGGGGTTACTCCTGGCTCTGAACTCAGAAATCACTCCTGGCAGTACTCGGAGGATCATCTGGGATGCTGGAGATCGAACCCGGGTCAGCTGTGTGCAAGGCAGTTGTCCTGCCTACTGTACTATTTCTCTGGCCCCCAATCTCCAGACTGCAGTTCCATGAACTTGATTTCTTGGCTGATGCAGTAACGGAGGCTAGAATTAAATTTGGCCATCAGTTAAATGACATTCCTAAATATGCATTTCCTTTGCAGTCCGTCCAATTTCCACATTACCCCTAAACTCTTTTCTTCTTTCAGTGACTTTCGAAAAATTATTCCCAAACGTAAAGAAATAATGCAATAAAATGATCCGACTTAATTTTGGTGTGGCCAGAGTGATAGTAGAATGGGTAACTTGCTTGTTTTGCATGAGGCCCTAAGGAGTGGGCTCTGAGCACTGAATTAGGAGTCAGCCCTGAGCACAGCCAGGTATGCCCCCCACAAAAATTATCATATGAGAGGAGGACCATTATTTCTGTTTTTTTCTTTTTTTCTTTTTGGGTCCCACCCAGCAATGCTCAGGGCTGACTCCTGGCTCTGCACTCAGGAATCACTCCTGGTGGTGCTCGGGGGACCCCATGGGATGCCGGAGATCGAACCCGGGTCAGCCACGTGCCAGGCAAACGCCCTCCCCGCTGTGCTATCGCTCCAGCCTACAGTACCATTACTTCTCTCTGTAGAAACGGGAAAAATTAGTATTTTGGTTAGAGATATTTGCTGTAATATGCTCAACAAGATCTGGAATGTTTGCAGTAATGAATAAAAGTTTCTGGCCAAGTTTACTCATAAACTACGATTTTATTCCACGGGTCGGCCTCATTCCACCGAAAATTTGGTGCTAGAGAAAGTATTTATTTTTTTGGATTTTTTTTTTGAGGGGAGAATCACACCCAGTGATGCTCAAGGCTGACTCCTGGCCTTGCACTCAGGAATTACTCCTGGCCGTGCTCGGGGGACCCTAGGGGATGCCAGGGATCGAACCCTGGGTTGGTCGTGTGCCAGGCCCTCCCCGCTGCGCCCTCCCTTCTGGGCTATCACTCCTGCCCCTCGCCTACCGCTATGGAGGGAACTTTTTGCGGCCGAGTATCTTTGCAGTGGCAAGCGTCTAATTTCATGGAACATACCGACTTGCTTTATTTATTTATTTATTTTACTTTTTAAAATACTCCTTTTGGCAGATCACCTCGAAATCATTTTAGCTTAAAAAATAAAAATACAGGCCAGCATCGGATTTCCCTGATGGGTACAGCTCAAGCTGTATCATTTATAGAGTGGAAGTCTTACTTGAGCGGCTTAAAGCTGGTGCACCCTTTAACTTGTTGATGGCACAAGAAGACTCTTAGCGGGGCCAGAGTGATAGCACAGCGGGGAGGGTGTTTGCCTTGCACGCGGTCGACCCGGGTTCGATTCCTGGCATCCCATAGGGTCCTCTGAAAACTACTAGGAGTGAAGGAAGGAAGGAGGGAAAGAAGAAAGGAAAGAAGGAAGGAAAGAAGGATGGAGGAAGGAAGGAAGGAAGGAAGGAAGGAAGGAAGGAAGGAAGGAAGGAAGGATGTTCAGGGACTCAGTTTGAAGTTCATACATTTCCATTGTCTACATAAACGGTACTCAGTGTACAAGATGTCTCTATTTTGGGGGGCAGAGTGATAGCCCAGTGGGAAGAGCGTTTGCCTGGCACGTGGCTGACCCGGGTTCGATCCCCAGGATCCCATAGGGCCCCCTGAGCACCGCCAGGAGTGATTCCTGAGTGCAGAGCCAGGAGTGACCCCTGAGCATCGCTGGGTGTGACCCAAAAAGCAAAAATAGAAAAGAAGGACTCTTAGCGCTTCCCTCTCATCTTTTTTTTTCTTTTTGGTGTTTGAGCCACACTGGTGATGCTCAGGGCTTGTTCCTGGCTCTGCACTCAGGAATCACTCCTGGCGGTGCACGGGGGACCCCATGGGATGCCGGAAATCGAACCCAGGTCGGCCGCGTGACAGGCCAATGTCCTTCCAACTCTTCCTCCTCCTAATTTTGGGGGTACCAGCGTCGGGGTGGAGGCAGGCAACGGGCAAGACTGTTCTGGAGATGCGAGGCTGTGCTTTTTCCTGCTTCTTTTTCTCCTGCTCAGGAAAATCAATCTGTAGCAATACTCAGATACTCATCCCCCCCCCCAAATCTTGCGTCCAGTGACGCGAGGCCAGTGGTGGCAGAAACAGGACTCGGGAGGAGTGAGTGATGCCACTTCTGGGGGGACGGTTCTTCCAAAGAGCTTCAACCCTGGTCCCTCAGTTGGCTAAGGATGCTGCTTTATTCCATCCACCACACACACCCCTCGAGCACCAGAAGGAGTAATTCCTGAGTGCAGAGCCAGGAGGAACGCGAAGCATCGCCCGGTGGGACCCAAAGACACACACACACACATACATCCCAAAACAAAACAAAAACAAAAACAAAAAACAATAAACAAAATAGTCGCACTTGGACCCAAAGACACACACACACACACACACACACACACACACACACACACACACACACACACACCCAAGACAAAACAAAACAAAAACAACAAAAAAACGATAAACAAAATAGTCACAGCAAGTGCTCTGAAGCCCACAGCGAGGCTAGGGACGCCTTGGAGGGATGAGCCG